GTGTACTAACATAAAATCAAACCCTCGCTAAAAGACACCTGATTTGCCCTTAACAAATTTATTACTGAAAAGCCGCTATTTTAGATCATCGACAGGAGTTAATGTGGCCACCGATAAATATTAAGTAGATCGAGACTAGCAATTAAGAACAGCAAACCAGCTCTTCATCCGTTAAAGCTACGCAGAGTCGTATATCTTCTCCAGCTTCTAAACTTTCTTGTGCCCGATTTAATACTTTGAGTGAATATTATGCGACATGAATCAAAGGGTAAGCAGAAGTGTTCCTCTGAATTTTGACTGTTAATAAAACTTAAAATCGTGAGGTTGCTTAAATATATTGCTTAAATTTAAGGCAGGATGCAGAAATACCTCATGATGTTACAGTTAATATTGCAACTGCGTTGTTAATTAAAAAATTAAACAACACAAGGAATTATATAAAACAAGCAAAAATAATTAAACGTAAACATTGAAGAATAGAAGCTGAGACAGACAATTTGATAAGTATTAAAAATAAAAACTACCAAGTAAATTTAAACGAAAGCAATATTAACGAGAAAAGGAAAATCTACAAAAAACAATGTTTTTAACAATTAAATTTAAAAAGAAATGAAAATAATAATAAAAAAAGAAATAAAAAGAAAAATTATGAAATTATTTAGCTAAATATTTCTCTCAAGGGCGAAGAATTATTCGTTCAATTCCAAACCCATATAAGTTCTAGTAACCAAATAGATAAAATTATTATTTTTTTACCGCATGCCCAAGCATATAGCCATCAGATGTGGTGTAGTATTTAATTATGGCAAAGCACACTAGGGCTATCTGCCTAAGGGGAGGGATGCCTTTCGTGGAGGACTTTCTAAGGGAAACTGGCTCGTATACACGTTACACATGGGGAAAACCACGAAAACGCCCATGCAGCCAGCCCGTTCGCGGGATTCGAACCCCGGACCGAACTACCAGTGTTCAGCGTCTTTACCGCTCGGCCGCTGGTGGGCTTATAGCCATCAGAACAATGCCACGAATACTCACGAATACTCATAGACAGATAGCCCTCGCTTGCTTTGCTATAATCAAATAAACTGGCTATGAATACTCGTGAATGGGACAAAGGAGAGCTTATAGTTATCTGTAGCTTGGGACACTAATTGAGGATAGTAAGGCGAATGGAGTAAATAAGTTGAGCGAAATTTTAACTTAAATAAAGCAAACGACAGATAAATTGTTTCAGTTGCAAAGTAAATTTTTCTTGCCTCTAGACCCAATTTTTATCTATAACGGAGTATGATTGCAGAATATTTAAAAAATATCCCAGTTGGAGAAAAACCATGAACTGTTTCATTAAGAAAACACATGAACGAAAAAACATGAAAATTTTTTATGTTGCAATATGTTGAGTTTGGGTTGCCATTTAAGGCAAAATATTTCGTAAAAATGAGGGATAATAAGCACAAAAAAGGTAAAACAATTAACAGAGGAATTAAAAAGAATGCAGAATTTTTTTTGTAATGGCTATTGCAGATTTAGCAGATAAAAAGAAAATTATACCCCAATGTAATGATTTCAGTAAAAGTACAATATAAAAATATGTAAATAAACACAAATAATATAGCTTCTATCTAGTATTTATTCTAAGGACTTCGATGCAATATTAACTCACAGATAAGAGGTGTGTAATAATTTCTGTGATGTTTTGTTGTTGAGCTGTACGTGGACAAAATACGATACATTTTTATTTCGCCAGGTAAAATATAATTCGAATCTAATGCTATGTGTATTAAGTTCTTGGAGAACTCTGAGTACTTAAACAATGCTTTACAAAATTCGGCAACTACAAGACTAGAGCATAAACGCATTATCATATTTCATGTGCGAGCTGCATGCTTGCTTTTGATTTACGCATCTATTAGCTATCCTTATGAATTTTGTTGTTTACTTTCTTGCTGTTTGGTCGTCGCGATTTCTTGAGATAACTCATCCTACAAAAAGATGCTCGACCCAAATGACGCAATAAAGTCAATACACCTGTCTCCTGAATGCGTCTATTAGACTCTGAGTGGTCGTTTAGGCTCAAATAAATATCATCTGCACGCACATTGGTAAATTTGTATTATTAGCATTGAACTGAGAAGATTTTGCATGGAGGTATAATTTATTTTAAAAGCTTAAAGTAATTGATTTATATTTTGCATAAGATGTTTGCGAGAAAAATTGTTTGCTGTTAAAATACTACAAAATGCAATTTAGAGTGCTCAGTGTGTTAATATTTCAAAAGCATATGCTTTTTGTTATATATCATATTATGTCTACCATATATAATAATTAAGATTTTTAAGATTTAAATATGGTTTATTAATTTTCTAGTACATACCGTTACAATTTCGTATGCTCAGTTAAGCATTACTAGAAGTTTTGTTTTTTCATCGACTTCGCTTAAGAATAGCATGCTATCCAGGAGGACTGACTTTTAGCACTTTAGTTCTAGAACTAACCCTTTTTACAAATCTTTAATGTCTAGTACATTTACCATAAAATATAGTACTTTCTTGCTTCCTTTAATAAGATTAAAAATAATATTAGAGAGTTAAACATGAATTTATACTTATATACCATGAGATAACACCATCAAAGAAATATACGGTTGTGAAGATCGTGAAGATTAACAAGAGAGGATATGAGTGGCTGCACAACGATATCGACTTTCTCTATAAGAAATCTCTACGACGACCACGACAAAATAAAAAATCATAGCATTAAAACATGAAGACAAGGATGCCCATCGTAATAACGCATGACTTCATCGTTCTTCACGTTGCACGTCCTATCCATCTTTATGGCAAATTTTGATTGAGATACCCTCGCAAATAAAATTTCTTGTAATAATGAGTTATTATCTGAATTGAGTTAGGGTTGGTCTCTGTTGCCTCTGCCGTAGTGAGCCCAAAAATTATTTTGTTGAAAGAGTTGTCATAAGTAATTTCATACAACTATGCTATTACTCAGCTTTGATTTGTGTCCATGAGAATTATTCAATGATGAATAATTGTATACCGTTTCAGCAACGGTAGACGTATTAAATATTTGTGAATTATTTTTAAAAAAGACTTAAAAAATCTGAAAGGTTTCAGATTTTAATGGTCATCCAGAAAGTTTGTTATGGTTATAAGGTATTTCTCCCGCCTTCCTGGTGTAGTTGTCTGCACGCTCAGCGCGTAATTGAGAGGTCCGCGGCTCGATTCCCGGCGAAGGCGTTGCTAATTTTTCATGACACCTGCTTTCAAAAAATTCTAATGTCTGTACAGTGGCGCCCGAACTAAAAGAATGTTGGATGATGATTCTCCTCACCCAGGATTTGGCGATTGGGCCCCTGAAAACCAAAGTCGCCTTTTAAAAGGAGGAGTATATAAGGTATTTTTCCCGCCTTCATAGCGCGCCTTCGTGGTGTAGTGGTTTAGCACGCTGGGCCAGTATTCTAGAGGGCCGTGGTTTGATTCCCGGCGAAGGTATTTGCTAATTTTTCATCTTGCCTGCTTCCGAAATACCTAATGTCTCTACAAGGTTTTTGTTAAGGGGTTTTGTCAAGGTTTTACTTGTTAAGGTTTTTTACGCTCTCGCTGAGCTCGCAGTCTTCTAATCTACTGTTGCATTCACTCCTGTTAACACATTTCCTTTCTTTTTAGTTTTTATTATTCAGCATCATTTTCTTCGCACTTGCATACGCCGTATACAGTGGAACAGCAAAATTACAAAAGTTTTAAAAGCAGCATATGTTTACAATTCCTGATGCAGTGTTAAGTGTTGGCATATACATTTCCCATTTTTTTCCAGGCTTCTCTCACTTTATGATATCAATATTTAGTTTTCATAGTAAGACGTCTTACAAAACGTTTTTTGTCTTTTCATTATTAACATTTTGTGTGTTAACTTTATTTGTTTAATATCACGTTATTTTCACTTATGACACTCAATATTCAGTTTACTAACAAAATAACAATATATTTAAAAACAGCATATCTTTAGAATTTCCGATAGACATTCAGGCGTGTTTGAGACAAAAAGGTTTTATTCCGCACAGTGCTGACGCTGTCCGCTTTCAAATAGTTAAGTTTGTTAATCAAAAATTCATTACAGTTTTAAAAATATGAAATTAATAATAAAAAATATATAACGTCATTCTATGAAAATATTGAGATTTTTAATTAGGCAGATTATAAATTGAAAGCACTTTTTGTTATATGAATCAATACAATAAAATGTAAGAAACGAATATTCTTTAGAACTGCATCTATTGCTTTCAAATAGCTTAATTTGTTAAGCATAACAGACAGATTCAAAATAAAAGACAAATATCTTACATTTTACCGAAAGGCAACAGATTCGAATAAAAACTGAAACGGAGCATTTGTGGTGATTTAGCATAAAATCATATTTCTACGCTAATAGGCTTTCTTGGGTTTAAAAAAAAACTTAATGAATTTACGTATATTTTAGCGTAATGAAGTTTGACACTGCTTGCGCAGTTTATTTATTGTGAATTTTTAAAATGTTTCGCAGAATTATGAGTAATCCTGTATTCGGGTTTGTTCACAAGATTTTCGCATGCATGAAGGAACGTGAAATACAGATCTTCAGTCGTGTGCCTTATGACTAATTCTTCATCATATATAAACTTAGAATTTACATTTCTAGTTCTTCATAATGTATTAACTTAAAAAATTTACATTTCTAACTTATGGAATATTATTAAACCGTTTTTACAACATTTTGTGTCAAAATTATTTGCTGAAAGCTATTGAAAAAGTTTGAAACAACTTGTTGAACAACTACCCAGTATTTTTATCTATTCTGTTTCTGAAAATATCAAAAAGATTTAATTAGGAAGTTTAAAATCACAATTTTTTTTCCGGTGTTTCATAATTCATTTCTATTCATTTACTAAAAAAAGAAGCCATAAAAAATCAAAATATATATCAACATTATTTTAAATTTGAATCTAGGTGTTTGACCCCTGTAAAATTCGCCAATATTACGTGAGCCAAACATATTTCGTACAAGACGTAATTTCTGTACTTCCTAGTCAAATGATTCTGTCTCTTCTTCCAGGTAAGAAACATTCTTTTCTTACATTTATTACTGTTTAAAGTTGCGGATATTTGATAATTATGTAAGATTTTATTGAATAATGATATGTAAATAAAAACCTATCGAATGACATGCTAATAAATGATTTCCTTAATTCAATAAAATGGCTCCGTGTCACGAGTGAAATATATGCCAGTAAATCGTTAAACCTGTAGGTTCAAATGACTTCTCTCAATTTTCTTAACAAGGAAACTGAAAACTATCTACAGATATATTTTTGATAACTACCAAGCTGAGTTTCTGCCTTATATTGCGTGTGTTTTCATACTGTAACTTCTCTGTTTAATTGGTTGCAGTCTCTAGGATAAATAACTTGTTGGAAAAAAAGAAAAGGTCAAAATTTAGATTACACGTTATTCCAATAATGCATTTACTAAATTCATTATTTTAATATGGAAGAAAATATTACGAATGGGTATCTATAATTTATCATTCTGATAGATTAAGTAATTGTTTCGGAGAAAGTGTATTTTTACTGAGAGCTTTATCTCGCAATCTCATTTTTTCAATCTGTCTATAGAAATGCAACTTTATTAAAAAGAAAGAAAATTTTACTTGCATGCAAAATTGTCATTTCTCAAACAGTCAAATATCATTTGATAGATAAAAGTACGAAATTTGCTGGTTCGGGTACTCTATGTGTGCGCTTACCATAATAAGTACATCAAAGTGATAATCAGTTCCATGCCCCTACCTTGTTTTAAGCCCTGCAGTGCATCACTACAACAGTTCTGTGTTGTAATATGGTAAGAATGGCATGGGTAATTACTTTGATGAATACTCCGGAGCAACAATTTATAAGGTGCCAAATTTAAACAGCTGAAAAGTCATGAGTCCATACAATGCATCTTTTGTGCTTTGATCAATCGATTAGTAAAAAACAGTGACATTTCTATGAAGTATCAAAGCAACTAAACGCGGGAATAAATCTGTCTTTCCTTGTTTGTTCTAAGAGGAAAGATATAAAACAATAGTGCATAGCTAGAAATAGTGATTGTAAAAGTCTGTTAGTTTATTGCTAACAGCATGCTAGTGAATGCAGTAACATTAAGCCTAATAGGGGTATTTATTATGTTTGAACTGTTAAATTTCATTGACTGAAAACGTACAAAACGTACATGAATCTTCCAAAAACAGTTTCACATTTTGAAATTTATTCCACTCATGATTTATTAAAAAGGTATAGATATATATCTTTGTGTATATGAACACGTAAGTGAAATTAAAGTAATTTAATACAAAACTTAGAGAAGAAAACTCGATGTTTCATAAAATAAAGTTTCGTTTTTCGCAATTAACATTCCCAGATTCGTAAGACTGGCGCAAACTGAAGATGGGCTCAAAACGTATCAGCCAGTATGATTTCATTCTTTCTGCAAGGATTGAAAAAAAAAAAAAAAAAAAAAAAAAGAAAACATTGCGTACGAGAATTAATTTCTTGCTTTATGTATTTAAAACCGTTTAGAAATTCTTCTGAATATGCAACTATAAATCTTAAAAGTATTGGATAACGAAAGATATACTATTTTCTCTGCAAAAGTTGCCCAGGTTCTTATAAAGATGTCAGATATGTATAATGAGTTCGGACATTTTCCTTCAGAGCATGGAGGGGAGGCATGAGGGATGGTTATCGTATCAGAATGCTTATAATATCATGGAAGTATAATACGATCCATTAGGCAATGTAAGATGCTTGAACTTAAAACCGTAATAAATGGGTGTTTTCCTACAGGAAAACAGTGCACACTGCAGGAGCTACTACTACTTTTTCTGCAGGAAAAGGCACAAAGAATGGACTTGATCATTGAAAATGCTACAAACTTTGATTATGATGTAACCTTGCAACGCAATGTTATGGTATGTAGAATGCCATGTCAATTTTCTGTCGTACTTCATTATTGGCAAAAGGCACTCCAGAAAAGCACGTAACTCATGGTCACAGGTTGGAATAAGGGTTGGAAAGTTTAATCATTTTATCTTTGCTTGTGGAATTGTCTTCCCATTGTTTTCGTATTGACAGTGTTTGAACTCTTACTGTTCAATTCAGAAGTTATTTTGAAGCTATCTTTTCCTAATTATAACACTGTACAATGACTTTATTTCTATTTCTTTAATGAATATTTTAATCTACGCTAATGTAGATCGGTACGCAACGGTTGTCTCTTCCTATAACTTTCACAAGTTTCTTAGCACGCAATAAATATAAATAATAAGGCCTAAATTACATTTTCAAGTAAAAAGGTGTTTTCCAGTTTACGTATTATTTTACTAGGTATTTCTATATTTTTGATTTGCTCATGCGCCTTTCATCGATTCTCTCAAAACAAGTTTATGGTATGATTACCACCTACATGGTCTAAAACTAAGACTGCTAATTTTATGAAACCGCAAAATAATCTATAATTTCTCCTTAATATGTTTCCTATCATGAAAACGAAGAGAATGGGCAGTGGTGGCCAATGAAAGAAAGCTATGTTAGGTGCTTTATCGTCTTGATAGTACTTTCTTTAAAGAATGCCAATATTTAGTTTAGCATAATAATAGTAATAGTTAATAATAGTTTAGCAGATTAAGACACAATGGCTGAGCTTGCTTTCAGACGCCAGCAAATTCATTATAATTCTACATGGTAAAGATCTTTATTTCGCTTCTATTCTGTTTTTATTTAGGGCCTACCAGGGGCGGAGCGGTAAAGTCGCTGAACACTGGTAGTTCGGTCCGAGGTTCGAATCCCGTGAACGGGCTGGCTGCATGGGCGTTTTCGTGGTTTTCCCCATGTGTAACGTGTATACGAGCCAGTTTCCCTTAGAAAGTTCTCCACGAAGGCATCCCTCCCCTTAAGCAGATAGCCCTCAAGGCCTTGCCATAATCACACACACACATCTGTTTTTATTTAGCCGTTGCGCATATGAAAGGTTTTTGTCAAACTAGTCGCTTGGCACTAAATAAATTATATTACTTGCTAGACAACTTTGCTCACCATACTGGTGTTACATTAAGCATTTATTTTTTTATCGCACTCTAGTAGCGTTGAAGCATTAAATATACACTAAGACAAGATCAAATCACATTGGTTAAACGTCTGCAGCAACAAAAAATCCATTATCTAAGAAGTAAAATTAACCCTTTTTGCATACAAATAACCTAGAGAAGTTAAACGAAAATGCTTATATTTTTTCTACTTAAATTAACCTTAGTAATAATAAAAAAAATTAATTTTATTCAAATTTCGTTTTAAATAATTGCTGCAGTTTGTTCACTACAGTGAACAGCATGCATTTACGTACGTGCATACAAATCTCTTCCCAACGAATTTACGGTCATTGCTTTTGAAATCATTTCCTGCCTTGTTTGCAGTGAACATTACCATCTTCTAAATGGTAAATCTACAACTGACATGTACATACAGATCCCCCAAAATACCTTCATTTCGTCGATTGTGATTAAATTCATTTCGCTACGATTTTATAACCTATGTACCTATTGGATTCAAATGTCAAATGTTCTAGAAATTTCCTTGCCAAAACATAAACACTTCCAGTGGTGTTTTGGATTGATAAGCAGTGCATTTGGGTTTCAATTCACTCTTTTCGGTAGATCTTTATCTACCCACTCCGCAATTTTCTCAAACTGACATTTAAAATAAAATGCCTAAAATTACTAATTACGAATAAGAAATGGCAGTATAAAAATGTAAGCAATATTATATAATGTTTACTATGAGAAATTGCACTAACTTAGAAACAAAAGTAGCAGCCATTTTCCAAATAGCATTGCCTTACTTAGTGATACTATACAGCCATATATGATCGACAGCTGAAAGTTCTAATAATATAAAATGAATAAACACAGGAATGGAATCTGTTAAGGCATTTACAGAAGAATAAACAAATTTAAACTTTTGTCTACTAGAGTGAGCGTGATGTAACAAAGGGTTAAAGGAAATGAAGAAACAACCTTAAATAACGAAATTAACTCAAAGGTGAGAATGGTTATAATGTTAGGTATTTCTCTTTATTTCGTAGAAATTGACTTTAGTTTTAAGTATCATTCTCATTCATTAAACGAAAAAATAGAACTAATGCAAGGTATGTTGTGCATTATGAATGGAGTAAGTTTTTTATGTAATCCCTTAAATTAATGCCTAATATATTTTTGTAATAAGGTATCGTTACAATAATTAGCATTTGAGTTACGATTTCTAAACAAAAATTTCCAATGTAATATAACTTTTAGTTTTATTTGTCTAAAAATACATTTTTACAATAATATTTAATATATACAAGTAATACTTGGAAGTCATTTTAGTATGGGGAGTCAAATTTTTGATTTTTTTTACACTGCAGCTCCTGTGTTGAGATGCGATTTAAGAGTAAAGAAGTAGTAATTAATTTCCTGCCTTCCTAAATGCTCACCGGTAATCTAATCTAAGAAGCAGAAAAATCTTTGAAATATTACATTGTTTTCTATAACACAGTAATACGATTCCTTTCTGCTTTTAATTCTATATTTCCCTAAATTGGATTTTACTTAAACTTTATTCCGGAGACGTAAGTTTTAGAAAATGAAAGACAATGTAAGAAAGAGAGAGAGAATGAAAAAGGCTGATGGAATCTACAGTGAACTAAATGAAAATTCCCAGCATTTTGTCACAAAGAAGACGGTAATAACATTTGGAAAGGATTGCATTGGGAATAAAAGCAAGAAATGACGATGCGCTTTCTTAGACATAAACTATTCTTAGTAATAATAATACTGTAAAAACTTTTTGAAAATTTCTTAAAAAGAAAAATCTTAGCTAACACCGAAAATTAAATAGAATAACATTGAAAGAAATTAATCTAAAAATTAATCTTGCATTATATTTTAGTTCGAGCACACTGTGAAGTCTTTTACTTTTTCAAAGCAAGACACAGAAGAAATGTGCATTGTTTCCGCCAATATTCTAACTCCGGACTTTTTGACAGCTAGTCGTCGTGTTTCCAATTCCGCCACGAAGGCTTCCGGTGAAAATGGAGAAAATACTTTACAAGTTGATTCATATTTGTTCACTGCCCACCAGCGGCCGAGCGGTAAAATTGCTGAACACTGGTAGTTCGGTCCGAGGTTTGAATCCCGCGAACGGGCTGGCTGCATGGGCGTTTTCGTGGTTTTCCCCATGTGTAACGTGTATACGAACCAGTTTTCCTTAAAAAGTCCTCCACGAAGGCATCCCTCCTCTTAGGCAGATAGCCCTCGAGGCTTTGCCATCATCACACACACACACACACACACACATATTTGTTCACTAATAATGAATTAAAGAGATAGAAAATAAAAAGGAGTACACAAATTTTCAAATAATTTCGAATTAATGTATATAAATGTTATCTTATAATTTGTTAATTATTACACTACCAGTCAACTATATAGCAGTTTGTAACATTATACTGTAGACACTATTGGGGATTTATTTGGAGCATGGATGATGGATAAATGTGCAATGCCTTCGTTGGGATTCGAACTTCCCGATTGCCAGCCGGACCTAATTTCCAATACATCAACAAGATAATAAGGAGGGAGAAAAATCTTACATCCTGCCCCACTTAGAAGCGAATGGGAAGGAGGAGACCCAATAGCCAAATCGTGCTGGTGAAGGCCTATCGTCCCAACCATTTTAGTTTGGACGCCATTTATAAAGTTATTTAGAATTTTTGAGATAAGGAAAGAGAAAACAATGCCCTAGCCAGAATTCGAGCTCTGAACCTTCCGATTGGTAACCGGAAGCGTTTCCACTTACACCACGAATGCACGACGTAAGGAAGGAAAAATACCATACAATATATGTTCCTAAAATTTAAATATTAGCATCATCCACGGCTGCTATGATAATGGCTAGATACATTCACAGGACTTTACCGCTCGGAGCAATCTGGTGGGGCGTAAATTCTTCTGTCCAGTCTTTCTCTAAATCCTAAATTCTTTATCACCCCTAAATTCTGGTGCCCAAAGCCTCTCTTAAATTCTAAAAGTTTTACCATTTCTGCTCGAAGCTTCTCAAAATTAAAAATATTCAGCTGTCCGGCGCGGCTGCACCGACTTTGGCGCCAACTCTGTACATTCAATATTATTTATTAATGAATTGAGGCAAAATTCTTAAAGATTAGTATATTTACGCCATTTTGTCAGTTCTTACTATCCAGTTGTTTTCTGCTTTATGACTCATAGCTATTATTGTTATGGGAATGCATTTTATTTCCCTCTGGCATGACGCAATATCATCAACTATGTCAGATTTGAAGAATTTATTACGTATTGAACTTTTGAAGCATCAGAAATAAGAAGGGATTGCATTTCTTATCATTTTACAATGACTTGTCTCTTCGCATTTTATTTGTTTTATCATTCAAAATACTATTTGCTACTAATCTCGTAACTTACTGAAGTTACAGTTAACAAATTAAAAAATCTTAAAAGCTTTTTAAAAACGAAAACAACAATAATAAAACCTTTATATGGACCCAATTCGTAATGCATTTTATTTCCGTAAGTTTTTCTCTTTTAGAAATAACAACATTTATGCAATACTAAATTGTAAAACAGTGATGTTTGTTTGCAAATTTGTGCATATTTAGATTTCTTTCTTATCTCATCTTTAATCATTTCCTAAATGCGATATTCTATGCAAAGCTAAAAAAACTGCAAGAGATAAAAATACTAAAATTTTCTAAACATGAAAAAAGTTCTAAATTGTGTAATGGGTTTTATTTTATTAAGTGTTTATAAATCGAAAAAATATATAAGATAATTTTGAAATTAAAAAGTAAAGTATTACTTGTCTTTCTCATTCATTCATTTTTTTTTTCAGACGCAGTAGGCTGTTGTAAATATTTTTTATGCACAGCTGGTGCTGGTAAGAATAATTTAGTTCAATTACTTTATTTTTCCTGAATTTTTCGTTTCGTTATTTAGAGATAAAGTGAAAATATTTAGGTTAGTCAATCTGCTAAAGTGATTTATTACATAAGTATTAATTTATTTATGTATTTGTCCGGCTATGCTAAGTGTCGAATGAGTAAAGCAGATAATTAAAAAATAATAAATAAGCTTAAAATAAAATAAATTAAAAAAAGATCTCTCTGCTGAGATGCGTACTATATGGCATTAGAAATATGTATTTACAATAACATTTCAAATATTTATGATTATCGATTAGGTATATTGTAAGTTATATTTATTTTTAATTACATAAAAGTGGTTCATTAAAATATTAGAAATTTTTTCATTTTCTGTAAGGACCCTTTCGATTTTCTTTTTTCTCTCTGACGATATTTGATCAAATAAATTTCTTCATTAGCGGTTTTTTGGGAGGAGGGTCACCGTTTTCTTTTTTTCTTATTTGTAGTTCGGCAGTTTATTTGTAACAGGAATATATTTTAAAGCAGTGGTCGCCAAACGTATGAAGCATCTATACCATTTTTAAATCCTACCATCCAAAAGAAGTACCAATTTTTTACAGAAATCTTACATGTGTTTATTGCCTATAAACTTACATTTATAGTAAATATTAAATCAATTTTAATTAAACTGTATATAACAAAAAGAAACTGAAATTGAATTGTGCATAGGAAAGAAACTGAAGTGAAGTTACTAATAAATAAAAATGTAATGACAGATCTTTTTATCAGACTTATTAACTTTAATCAGAAGGATGGAACTCTTTTTTGTCATCAACAAGTTTTTAGTGTTGGGGTAGTAGATAATGGCTGCCACTCGAATGCAGTTGTCGAAATGTTCATCAGTTAGTCTGTTTTTGTACTTAATTTTAAATTTCATACTGGAAAAAGGAATCTAACACAGATATGTAGAGCTAAATATTGTCTTCGCGTTCAAACCTGGACCAAAATTTGAGTATCTTTCTTAAGGAACAAGAGGCCAAATATTTTCAGGGCCTGAAGAAAGCGATTTTACAGATATATCATCTTGAAAATCAATCAGTACCAACTCCACTGCAGCATTACTTTCTCGGAAATCAAAATTCTCCATAACACAAGTACAAAACTCTTCAGCATTAATCTCTATAAAAGGCACTTTGACAAAAAATTGAAATTCTTTGAAATCTTGGAAGCGTTTTTTGAATTCACTACTTTTTTCTAACTGATACACTTGCATAGCGCAGTAACCACACACATTTTACCTGGGTAAAAAAGTAATCGGTTTACCATTCCGAATGAAGTTGATAAAGCTTTTTGCTTGAATATGCCATCTTTAGAACAGACTTAGCTTGGTACCGATGTGTAAATCAAACTATCCAAGTTACCAAATGTCTAATATACACACGAAAAACATAGCATGCAAACTTCACGCGTATATACAATCAACTATGAGATGAGGCTGACAATGGCAGTTGGGCAGGAGAAACAAGCAGTTGTCAGCTCAATGGAGGAATCAAGATTTTAGTCAACCGGAGCGTTAGCGCGATCTACCGAAAATGTATCCGCGAGTTACTAGGAGCTCGCGATCGACGATATGGCGATGACTGTCGTAAAGTATTTCATGTCGGCTGCAGTCAGTCCATTGTTCAATCAATAAATGATTCAAATAATTTAAAACAAATAACCCACTCAGATACTAGAGAGCGTTTTCGTTTGTGGCTGAGTTTTGCAAAATTTTGGATTGGTACGCTATGTTACGCTATCAGACGTTTATCACCCATACGAACTGGCAGGTGTCACTGGGCGAAATGAATAAAGAAATTTTACGATTTACTTTATTTACTATCGAGTTGCCGTCTGCGTAATAGAATGTATTGAATTAACAAATGAATAAAAAATTTCATTTAATGAAGGGAAAGCTTTTATATATATATTTATTCTAGTAATAATATAGAATGTTCTATGCATCATGTTAAGAATGTCTGAAATTTTTCTGAATTAAAATATGAAATAATAAAAAAATCATAATTGCTGTAAAATCAGCATTTGAGTATTATTTAGCCGTTATTTTGTATAAAATAATGCATAAATCATTTAGTCATTTTTAATTTTGGGGATTAAAATAGTTAAATCTGATTTATGAAAAACGGATTAATTAATTAAATTTACCAAATGGCTTATATTGAATTATTTATTGTAATGCCTTACTTCGATTAATTAAAAGACTTTCTTTCCTTTATAGATGAACTATTCGAAAGATTACAATGATTTTAATTCTTTTCAGCTCGTCTGACAAGATTGTTGAAGTTTCATATTCTTTACAAGTTTTATGATTTAGCAGAAAGGTAAGAATTTTTTTCGCTCAATGCGTTAAAGCTATATATATTTCTATTAAGCTTAAAAAATGTGAACTCATTCAATATTAAAACACTAATATGTGAATTATATCAGAACTTTCAGGTCATAAATTTGATCAAGAGCCGCCCAGACGGTATAGTGGTTAGGGAAGCCGACTGCGATACTAAAGGGCCCGTGTTCGAATCCCGGAGAAGGCATGGTTGTAACTTTCCACCCTTTCATAGGAGGCAAAGGTGGCCCACCTATTAGGTGCTTTCTTAATAAAGTGACCACCATTTCTAGCCTTAGTAGTGGCCAAGCCGAAGTCAGCTGGGAATCAGCCATTGGTTAAAAAAATGATCAAGAACAATAAATATATTTAAGTACCCGAGTATGCTAGTAATTACATTTCTGGATTTAAAATTTCTGTCCGACGTTTGCATATAGAACATATGGGATCCGTATTGAAATTTAATGAGCTACGCTATGTGAAGCATTTGAATTATTGTGATAAACTTTGTCTCATCAGGAATATTCGGAGAATTTATATTTACAGAAACGATGCAAAATGAGAAATGTATAAGATATTTCTAAATGATTCGACGACTTATGTTTCTCGAGTGGTTGGTGACACATAGTTTTAGATTTAAAAATGAATAAATTAAGGTAACTTTGAGACTAAGATTAGTTGCATGACAACTATAAAAAAAATATCAGGGAATGCATAATTTTCTGCTGCCTGCCGCCGAATAAAATTACAATTAGTTAACATGTTCCTTATTTAATCGATTCTAAAGATGTTTTTTTGTTTGGGTGGGTGAGTAAGTAATATGCAAAATAAGATCTGATAATTATTTCAACCACTTTCAGCTGATGAAAAAAGAATGGAGTTCAGAGATCTTTTAAAAACTCAATTCCATGAGACTAAAACTTTTTAATTTTAGCATTTCTGTCCGTTGAAACTTGATATCAGTCTGCTTTAATGTTTACCTGATTTAAAAAGTGCTTTTCTTAAATTAGGATTAAAAATTTAGCATATATATCTGTTTTTACTAATACGTGTCTACGGCCAGCAACATTTTAATTTAGAACACCTTAGATAACTTTGGAGCATACGAATACTGAATGTCTATTGTTTCACTTCTTGGACTATGAAGAACGCTTTTTTATAGGCTTGCTTCTATAGAACCTTTAAAAGTTTAAGTTTTATTCATTTATATTAATTTTATGGTTTTTAGAAGTGTTGAGAATTGTCTGTGTTGTAGAATGCGTGTTATCTAGCTAAAGAAACATACGGGATGTAAGTGAAATAAAATGTTTTTAATTGGTGCTTTCCTTGAAATTAATAAAATAGATGAACATGTGAACGTATACCTTGTGAGAAAAAGCATAAGCATAAGCTGAATAATTTGACAATGTTAACTGCTGTGGGTATACTTGACGTTTCATCACACTCTGTTAGATTTCAATTCTCCTTCGACTTTTACATTCCATGTTAAGATTCCATGCATCACTTCGCCGCACCACGCTGGAGAGAATCACGAGGATTACTTAGCGGATAGCTACGTCAGGACGATATCAGGGCAAAACACACACGGATAGGCACATGAGAAGGGCACTCAATCTTGCCTCTCCAACTTCCTCTATATGCCGTGATTACCAAGTAAATAGCTTTTGCAGGTATATACCGAACAGGGTGCACAACAATAGACTTTTTTGCCTGACACGAGACTTGTAAGGCGGTAAGGGAAAAGCCTAACACATCACAGGTATTGAAAAAACTTAAGTATTAGAGCTGTAAACTGTAGCCTTGATCCCGTAATGTGGTTGAGCGAATCTGAAACATTTGCAGTCAATGCAGAAGTAGTTGCGTTATTACTGGTCGTTCACGATCCTCAGTCTAATGATAGGTCAGGGAAAGTTGTTTTCTACTCGAATGGAAGTGTCTCGCAAAGAATCTGTTAGGTGGCCGCAGGCCTCGAAGCATGGGTTCCTGGGCCGAAGCTCTAACCAAGACTAATAAATATATGTAGCTTAATCTGTAAATAGCATTTCAGAAGGCGCAGATAATATTTAGAGAATTAATTAAGTCCAGAGTAGGAGTAAGGTGAATGATGTCTATCGGGAGAAAAAGTAGTGTTGGCGAATGAAGTACTGCAGTGAATGTCTAGCAGAAGAAATATATTAAATACTACTTCGGCTGGGAAATAGGTAGTCTTCTACCGCGTGAGATTAAATAGAGTTGGACTTTTCATTTCTTCAGCACTGTGCAGACGCAAGGGTGAATATAAATTTTCCGGCAACTAAAATGTGTCACAGGATTAAAATTATCATTGTCGGAAAAGCTATCTTATTTGATTTGTTTCTTACAATAGCAGCTACAAATGTATGCAGAACTGATACTGATTTATGCAAACGTTTTAAAGAAGACTACTTACTTTTACTATATATAAACAATGCGCTCAGCGTTTTAGATCAACTGTATAAAAATGGCTTTTCTATTCGTGACATTAATGCTACCATCTAGTGCAACATGGATGTAGCTTAGAACTGACTAGGTATGATGTCTGAAAAGCAGAGTGAAACATCATAATCCATTGTATCCTAAGACTACATCAATCTATTGGAAAACAAACCACGCACTGTTTCGTAAAGATTCTCATTCACGTTTAATATAAATTTTTGATGAAGTCATTGTATTCCTTCCAGTATAGTTTCATTTCTATCAGTCAAAAAGAGTTTCGAATTAAAGAGTGTGTGTATTTAATTATGGCAAAGCACACGAGGGCTATCTGCCTAAGGGGAGAGGGATGCCTTCGTGGAGGACTTTCTAAGGGAAACTGGCTCGTATACACGTTACACATGGGGGAAACCACGAAAACGCCCATGCAGCCAGCCCGTTCGCGGGATTCGAACCTCGGACCGAACTACCAGTGTTCAGCGCCTTTACCGCTCGGCCGCTGGTGGGCCCTTCGAATTAAAGAAAAATATCACATCAGAAAATATAAATTGATAAATCTCCAATCATTTTTCATTGCTGACCTCATAGCTATTCTTCAGTTTTTCCCTTAGCTAAAACTACTCAGAAAATATCAATCTCTCACATTTTTGGAATAGGATTTTTGACTATTTTATATTCAATGCTTAATTTAAATTTTAATTAGTGATTTTGATTGACAGTCATATATCGCCAATAATATAACTCATAATACCTTCTAGAATTGCCACAACGCTCACAACTGAATGTTTGGAGTTGCCGAAAAGCTCTTAGAAAAGGCAGCCAAGTGGGTTATTGTAGACGATGATAATGTTATAAAGCATTTTAACTGATAAAATTCAGGATCGATTGAGTATGGTATGAAAGCGACATTATTCAGATTAATCTGAGAAAAATGCTTAAAACGCCTATTGCTTTAAAAGAATACATTTTCAATGCATTCGCAGTTTTTTCCCCTTAGCTTATGAGCAAATCTCGTTTTTAGTCATACAGCAAACACAAATGTGAAATAAATTATCACTATAGTCATACAGTGATTATTTATTTTTAATATTTTTATTTCATTTTTAATAAAATATGACTAAGCATTAAATCTTTTTGTTAAATTTAAGGATGGTACTGCACGACTACGAAGGATCATGAAAGTTTATCATAAAGAAATATTAGAAAATCTCATAACTCAGTATCAGTAAGCAAATTATTAAATATTCATTTAAGTACTAACATTAACATTAAATAAGCAGTGAAGAGCTATGTGTAACATAAATACCCAGAAAATTTTCTTCTAATGAAAATAAGGAATTTTATTTTTTATCGTTACGTGGAAGTCAAAAATAAACTTCCAAAAATAGTTCAATAAATACAATATACGCAATTAATAGCTGCTTTCTAACTGTTAACGGAATAACTAGCTGCAAACTTTAATGGATTAGTTAACTGCCTTCTTAACGGGTATGCAAAGGTTCGATATAAAATAGTGGCAACACGCTGATAGTTCTGAAAAATTTTATATACTATAGTTACAAACTATTAATCTTCAAAACTGCCTGCCATGTCTACCATTTTCTGAAAAATTACTGGAAGGCACAATACACCATCCAAAGCGTTCAGTGCTATTGATGCTCCACTGCAACTGCCTCAAAGCATAGATAGCTTTCTCTGTATTGTAATTGATCTGAGTTATCCTCTCCATTACAATGGATCCATCGCTGTGTTCTTTGTTTTGAAAAGAGATCACAGTCACACGGATTTATATGGAATACATGTGGCGGTAATTTCAGTATCTTCCATCGCTAGCGCTGCAATGCTCCCGTTTGAACAACGCGCAAGTGTCACGGAGGGTAATGTATTCGTCACTTGACACATCTCCTCCAGCACTAACCAGAAGAAAGCGATGGTTCTTGTTGGTGACGAGTTGTTTTAACTTCTATGATAATACGAGGTAACATAAAGTGAGCGTTGTTATATGCGACGATGGATCTCCAGCGACGATGGCAATGGAAAACATTGAAATATTCGTCATACTGATCGGATATAAGTACATGTGGCTGTGATCTCTTTGCCAAAATGGAAGAAAAAAAAAAAAAAAAATAAGTGCAAGGAATTTATTAGTACAGCAGAGCAAAAAATGTCGATGCTTTAGGGCAGTCGTTGTGGAACATCAGCAATAGCTGATGGCGTACGATGCCTTCCAATAGTTTGGCGGAAGGTAGTAGATACGGCAAGCGATTGTATTAAGATACTATAGGTATTTGTATCAAGACTTTTTAGGTAATCAAGCCTTTTCAGACATATTGGTTAACGGAAGCGAATTATAACTCTACTGCACAATCAAAAATTATTTTCCCCATGGTTATTGTTGAAATAACAAGACTGAATTTAAATTATTGGGATTTCATAAGCAATAATGCATGAGTACTAGTCGGGAAATTTCACAGAAACTACATACAATAGTATCTCATACAATTCTTGCAAAAGCCAACTTCTGACTTAAATCGAAATCTTTATATTTAATGTCTATTAGATTTTCGCTATTGAGTTTTACGATCTCTCACCATCTAAATAATACGTTTTTTAGATATTATGCACTTTATTCTTGTTTTCAAATGTATACACTGAGTATTTCAAATAATATTATTTTTCAGAAATTTATTCATAGGAAAGCCTAAAAGTTCCAGAGATTTTTAATGTTTTTTTTGTTTTACATTTTAGCTTTACAAGCAATCCACATCTCATACGGGTGTTACGACTGTTTTTAAATTTAGCAATTATTATACACTGGATTGCGTGCCTCTATTACCTTCTATCCGAGGTAAGTATTTCTTCAAGTGTAGTTGTTAAAAATAAAAGATGGATTTCCCATCAGAAGAGAAAACATAAGCAGAATGTTACAACCTTAATTCTTAAGTATAGCATGATATTAAAATGGCAAAATATTTTTGAAGATTTATTGGGAAAGTTTTGTATACTAAGTTTCAGCTGGTTAATTATAATGGTTATTACTTCTCTTTTATCGTAGTATGAAGGATTGGGAAGTAATGCCTGGGTGTACACCAATGCAACAGATCAACAAAGATTTTCAAGGTATTATTAAAATATTTTCATGTTTATTTTAAAATGTTCGAAATAATGTGAACGAAATTATAATTCCTCTGAAATCAATTTTGAAACTTTTTGTTTCGTCTGAAATAAGTATCAGGGAAGTAATAGTCAATTTAATTAATGCATTTTCTGCTTTCAGAAAAGGAAATAAGTTTCACGTATTTACATTTTAATTGATGTTTACATACAAATTCATGTTGTTTACATACAAATTCATGTTGTTTACATACAATTTGATTGATGTTTACAAGCATAGTATACATCTAGAAAAAATATTTTCTAAATGTATATGCTTACAATTTCTTTAGGGCTGGATTTTATTCAAAGTTAATCATTGAATTTATTTGTTGCTTAGTCTTGCGAAAGTTCTATGTGATCTCTTATTTGGTCTTCATAAGAAAAGATTTCCTAAATGAATTTTTCAGTACTTAGATGTTATTCAGTTATTTTTCAGAATATTAAATTGTTTTCTATCATAGCATTAAGCTTGTCAACTTTTACCTAAGTGGTGTATATAGAATGAGACAGCAGCCATATCTTATTTACCAATATAACTATCTGATTTGAATATAAAAAATGCTTGAAAGTATTACCAGAACTACTTTGACCTGAAAATAAATTTCGGGCCGCCCAGCCGGAATAGTATTTAGCGATGCTGACTGCCGTACTAAAGGGCCTGTGTTCGAATCCCGGAGAAGGTATGGATGTTTGTAAATGTATAGTGTCTGTGCTGCATGGAGACATTTTAAATATCTGACGAGCCTAAAGCCTTCTCGAGAGGTGGTAGGGAAGGAGGGAGTGAAAGTCCCTCAGACCCGTCCCAACGGGTGCTCTCTATTATACTTGGGGGCGGAACTAAGCAAAGTAGTACTGTCACCCGTATAGTGCTCAGGGCTCTTGCCAACGACAGGCACAATCTTCCACTCTTTTTCACGATGAATTTCGTGGACTTGCTCTGATGTTACTGTCTGACAAGAGAGACAAGTCACAATAACAACAAATTTCGGTGGAGGTATGTTATGATCTCTGAAGTTTACAAGAAATTAAGACAAGAAGTTTACAAGAAAGACCCACCTACTGCCGAGTGGTAAAGTCTCTGAACACTGGTAGTTCGGTCCGAGGTTCGAATTCCGCGAACGGGTTGGCTGCATGGGCGTTTTTCCTGGTTTGCCCATGTGTAACGTGCATACAAATCAGTTTCCCTTAGAAAGCCCTCCCCGAAGGCATCCCTCCTCTTAGGCAGATAGCCCTCGAGGCTTTCCTATAATCACAGAAACCAAACCAAGAAATTAAATGTCATTTAAATGAAATTCTTAAGTGATTGGAGTCTAGTTGAAGACCCTGAGTACTGATGCATTGCGTCAAACTTCGACCTAAAGGCCATTGCTTAATTCCGTGCAACGCACACACCGGATTCTAGATCCGGATCTCCTGATTTCCATCCAGACGTGCTTCCGACGACACCGCAGTGAGGAGGAAGAAAATTGCGGAGGTCAGAATCTAGTCGCCAAACTCAGATGGTGACGAACTAGCATTCATCATCTTTTAGTTCGGGCACCATTGTAGAAGCATCTAGAATTTTGGAAGTCGGAAAACATATAAAATATATGATGCGCTCGCCAAGATTCTAGCTCAAGACTTCTGAATTTCCAACCGGGCAGGCTTCCAGTTACACCACCAAGACGCGCGATAAGAAATGGTAAAGTACCTTACACCCTTTTAATGTGAACATTAAGAGTGTTTCATAAATCTTTTAGCTTATATGTATATCGGGCGATTTATCAAGAAAAATAAGGAGATCTTTTCAGAGTATTAAATATAGAACTTTTTTTGTATTCTAGTCAAACATTTAATAAATAGAGTTGAAAGTTCTTTAGAACACTTATCATCGGTGTGCATAATTTCAGTATCATTGCCATTAAATAATGCTTTAAAATTATTAATTAAAATTAGTCAAAATTAAGTATTATGAGTTAATTAGTAAATATTAATTCAGAATACTTGTCGGCTAATCAACCCATTGTTAGAAAAAAGAGTGCACGTTTTTGGTAATTATCAAAATTTATCTTGTAATAACTTTTGCGATTTTGCTATTCATTTCAGTAAAATAGCTTTCTTTTCAGGAAATACATAATATGCTTATATTGGTCAGCGATGACGCTCACGACTATTGGTAACACCAATTCACCTGAAACTGATGTGGTAATATTTCATTTGCAATCACCAGTTTTATGATTGCAACTATTCAATTGTTCTTTCGCCTTGTTAAATATAATAGCTAAAACCAAGGTTTTTAATTTTTTTTAATAATTCGTTTAGTATTTTTGATTCGATTTGCTTCATGTATATCATTTGTTTTAATTGTGCTGAGCTTTTTCATTTTGATCATTTCTGGATATGACCAATTTTTCCAAGAACAAATACGTTGAACTCGCACTGAACATTAACTATATAAAATAATCAGCGATACACAAGACCAAATTCGTCTGGAAATATAAGTGGTTGGTTAGTAAATGTTCACTATATGTCTGAATCCATAATTCATATAATTTTAGCTTATTACAGAAAATTCCATATCATAATGTGTCTCTACTAACGTCTGCTAAGAGATGTAGTACTTGTATACACAAGACTATCTGACACCATCTGTTGTACCATCGTATGTTGAACAAACATTTAAAAGACTCTAAAGATAACACTGACTTCAAGATCAAAGCACACATTTTAACTGTTGTTTATAATAAAGTCCGTGTATAAGGTCATTTATTGTTAAAAGAAAATTTAAATGCGAGATAGGAAATGCAAGCGTGCCCTTTAAAGAGAAACGTTGTTCTGATAATAACGACTAAATTATCTTGCCACTGAATTATCGCAAATTTATTTTCATGCTTCATAGTAAAAACTTGGTGATTATTGATATATAAAGATATTATTGTACTATTCTTTTATAAAACTAACCACAAAATGAATAGTTGTTTTGAATTTGTCAGATGATTTAGATAAGTTTAAAGAACTACTGAAACAAGAAATCTTTCTGCTGAAACAATTAACAAAAATAACTATTAAAAAAACTGATGTCTTATTTTTATTACTATAGCGTTGTTTGAGAGTAGAACTCTCCATGAAACTATACGTATAGAATCCATGAAACTATACGTATAGAATCCATGAAACTATACAAAACATATACATATAGATATATACTGTTAATCTTAATCCAACAATTAATTTGTCTTCTGAGATTTTTTGTAACAAAATCCCCCATTCTTATTCTAAGTATTTAAAGCACAGTAAAGCCATTGCTTATTTGACAGAGCTAGACTAGATTTGAAGAGCTAGTATACAACTAAGAGCTGGAAATTGCCAAGATAAGAATTAATTTTTCTTTCATTTGCAAACTACACATTGGTTGCCGAAAAATGTATTAATAATATTCTCCTCTCGATTTTGGGATGATAAAATTAGCAAAACAAGGGAAGGAATGCGCGAGGAAATACAGTATATCCTGATAGGAAGTTTTCTGGACTTAAAACTGCCCTCTTTTCAGACATTAACGGGTTGCTTTTCAAATACTAATTAGTAGGAGCTTCATTTTTCTTGGAAAACCCTCAATGTTTATTACTTTACTAGCATATTATTTATTGGAAAGCCAAAAATTTCAGGAGCAATAATGACCCACAGCTACTGAGCGGTTAACTTGCTGAACACTGGTGTCCGGGGGGCTTAAATTCCGGTAAATGGGCTGGATACATGGCGCTTTCGTGGTTTTTCCTATGCGTAACGTGTATATCATTCTTCACAAAGGCAACCCTTCCTTAGGCAGATAGCCCTCGAAACTTTCACAGAAACCAAACCAGTGCTTTGCCATAATTAAATAAACCAAACCAAGCTAAGAACAATAAATTTTTTATAATAATTGTTTTTTGAGAGTAATTTACTGTATATCTACAAGGGGCTTTTGAACTTTAAAGATTAAAAATTAGAAGAACTGTGTAAGTGCTATTAATGTCAAAAATAGATATTAAAAATCTTAATTAAGAACAATGGCTGGATCTTGAAGTGAAGAGAGTACCTCACTTGAACTTTGTAGGCTTCCAATCTTAACACAGTAGATACGTTAACTAGTTTTTAATTAATTGTTTGAAGTAGAACGCGAGGATCCTAGGGATTACTACTTGCGTGACTTCACAAATTCTCCTTAGATTCAGAATTGGTAGAAATAATTAGTTTAAAGAAAAGTGTGCAATAGTTCATAGTTCTTGGAGAGGATCATAATATACTAAAGCAATAATTGTTCAAAATTCATGGAAATTGTTATTTTACATCGAAACTTGCGTGAACCTATGAGTTACTGTGTAAGTCCAAATTGTTAAATATTGCGGTCGAAACCTTTGCTTTCAAATCCCCATTGTCGTAGTAGACATGTGGCGGAATAACCCCCCCCCAATCGTAAATACATTTCTATACCCATGTGGATCGTGTGGTATTCACTTTCTAGCCAGTTTCATTTACAAAACTCTTCGCATTTTATATTTATATCACATTTTATAAGATATCCACTCTTTAATCAGATAAACCTCATGGGCTTTATAGTATTCAAATAAGGAGATAAATAACTTTAAATCCATCGGTTTTGTGGGCTCCGCAGTTTCTTCGACAGGGCAGTGGAACTCATGATTATGTGTGTATTTTTATGTAACCTGATCATTGATGTTAAAATAAAAGCATTAATTTCTAGTTTATGCCTTTCATTATTTCGATGTTAAATCTAATTAGAATTTTATCTCTCGATTATGGACTATCTATCTCAGTCAAAAAAATCTCTAACAATTTTTCAGAAACTTCTATTTCTGTAGCATAAGTCTAAATGTAGTTAGTTTTATTCAAGGTTACTTAATAAATATTTTACATTTATAGCTAAAAGCATTAATTTAGCAAAAAAAAGGTCTTTGAATGTTTTACATTTTATGAACTAGTCGTTTCTTGCTCAAATAATTTCATTTTTTTCTGTACGATCATTACTAAATTCTATATCCTACCACTGTAATGCAGTGAAATTACATAATGCCCCAAGACTGGTGAAGGGATTTATTTTTCTGCACTTAAAGTACAGCCACACAGAACATCGATTTCTTACGTAATGTAATTTAAGAAATTGTCTTTTACATTTGTTAAATCATTTTGCATTTAATTTGTTATTAGGGAGTGAGAATGAATGTAACGTTAACCTTATTTGACTTAGGAGTACATCTTTACTGGTGTCATATTTTTAACCGGAGTTTTTGTGTTTGCTACTGTAATGGGAAATGTTGGTGATGTTATATCAAGTATGAATGCTAATCGCCAAGAATTTCAAGCTCGGTGAGTATTATTTGATTATATGAAATTCCTAGCAAATAAAAAATCTAAATACAAAAGTTTCTCTATTTTAAGAAAACAATTAGTGTTTTACAGATATATAAAATAAATATGGTTGAGAAATGAAGAACAACAGGTCTAGGTTTAGCATAGTAAGAATAGTTGTATAAAACTGGAATAATTTTGCTAATAATTCATAAATTTTTTTTCAAGCAATGTTAAATCTGCCTCTCGTAGTATTTCTGTTTTATCAATAACAGACCTAAAATTGATAATTTTAATTTCCTATTTATTCCTTTTGACTCCGGATTAATAAGGGTATTGCCGGGGACACGTTCACCGTTTTAAGAGGTTAGTTTCAAGAAGAATGAGTGTCTAAAATTGGAATAATTTTACAAATAATTAACAAGTGGGATAATTTTAACTTCCTCTTTAAAAACATATATAGAATTGTCTCTCGATTAACCGGAGTAATGCCGGGTCCATTTTTAACGCAAAATCACAGATAATTCGAAAGCAGTTAAAGAAACATGGGAAAGAGGAATAACTTATATTGTGTGTTGTTGTGACTGATCTTGCTTGTCTGATATCAGAGTAATGCCACGAAATTCATCGTGGGAAGACAAGATTACGCCTGTCGTTGGCAAAAGCTTGGGCACATCCGTTTCATTAAATGATTTACTTATAATCATTCTATCCTATAGCATTTCCTTTGAATATTTATTTAATTTCATTCACTATCATGACGCTTTTTTGCAAATCTATCTTATATTTTCTCTTTACATATTGATTAATATCATGGATTCGATCTACATTGAACAAAGATGCCACACAGACAAAAACTACATAACTAGAAATTAAGAATGAACAAATATATATGGTCCCATAAATTATGATATATGGCTTTTCCTGTCCGAAACTCAATTTATGTATTGCAACATATTCTACATACAAAAACAACTGTTCGTAGATGCACACTAACACTAACTGTTCGTAGATACACACTAATTCATCTGCAAACTCTGTCTATGGGAAAATGCTTCTAAATCCGTCTTTGCGTTCAATCTAACCTGAGAATATTGGATTTATTAGAAATAATAGAATATAACCCATCGTTTCTATTAGAGGAATTTTGGAAATTACGCAATGAAATGTGAGTATTATCGAGAAAAAACAATTGAATAGAAAAAAATGCTTAAGGACAAAATCTGGTTTCTAAAAATTTCTGTTTAAAACTAAAAGAGTATACACGTCAATATTTTGATGACAATGGGAAAGGATTCCGTTTTCAACATATTTCGAGAATTTTAAAATTTCTCTAACCATTGGCATAAGCGCTCTTTGAACCATTGGCTAGTAATGAAAAAAGAAAACTCTTGGCTCTTTAGTATACTTCATGGTTTACAGCGCTGCTAGACATAAAGTGAAAAAGATTTTTCGAATAGTGATGATTTTTGTCAGGGTTGGATTAATTATTAAACTTTGTACTCAGATTTTCAGTATGTAGAGACATTAGGTTATTTTTTAGGAAGCAGGAAAGATGAATAATGAGCAACGACTTCCCAGGGAATCCAACCGTGGACCTCTGGAATACTCGCCCATCGTGCAGATCACCACACTACGAAGGCACGCTCAGAAGGCGGGGTATATATGACCCCCCTTTTAAAGGGCGACTGAGGTTTGGAGGACCCAGTCGCCAAATCCTGGGTGTGGAGATTCATCATCCACCACCCTTTTTAGTTCGGGCACCAATGTAGAGCCATTAGGTTATTTCGAGCCGGAGAGATGAAAAATGATCAACGCCTTCGCCGGAAATCGAAACACGGGCCTCTGGAATACGCGCCCAGCGTGCAGACCCCAGACCACGAAGGCATGCTAAGAAAGCAGGAGAAATAGCTTATAATTAAAGTTTAAAAAATTATCTAATGCGAAATTGTCTTGATGGGCTCCCCTCGAGTTTAAGGGCCTCCGCAACTACCGGTGTTCGGAGCCCCTAAACCATCACTGATTTTCGATTCTGGAAACCTTATTGACATTGACAGGAAGAGTTCAGTGCTGAAAATATTTTCATATGCGTTTCATTTAAAGAGTGTAAATAATTATAAATATAATACTAATTACAGGGATAACTATCAAGTTAGATATATCTTTAATCCCAGTAAAACAATTAAAAATTGATGTAACGTAGTAAGTAATAATTTTGAAGCATGAAAGATCAAAAGTTTACATACTGTGTCACATAAAATTTGTTAGTTATTTCTGAAAGTTTGAGTGGTACAATAAAGAAAGTTATTAAAATGAGCTGAAAGGTTTTCAAAAATGATTAAATATGTAAAAAATAAAAACTTTTATTTTATATTAAACAAAATAGAGCTATTTTCAACAGTTTCCTCATTTTTCAGAATGGATCATATACAAATGTATTTAACACACAAGAAAGTACCTGCTTCTTTACAATTGAAAATTAAAAAATGGGCGGAATATACATGGTCTAGGTATGTATGTCCTAATGCTGATTCAAATGTAAGTTTAGACTAAGCAAAATTAGTTGCTTCTTATACTAAATGTTGCCTTTTTTCCCCTAAAAAAAAAAAAAAAAAAAAAAAAAAAAAAAAAAAAATTGGGACATTCTTGCATGTGTTCCAAACCTGCTTACATATCCAACTTACTTAGATGTTATTTTAGATAAAGTGAGAAATTAGGTACAGTGAAATTAAATTAACTACAGTATGTTGAATGACGAAATTTTACATTATTTTAACTTTTAGGACAAAAGCAACTGATGAGTCTCGATTGCTAAATATGCTGCCTGAAAGACTACGAGCAGAAGTTGCTGTGCACGTTCATCTCGATAGCCTTAAGAAAGTATGATTTTTCACTTTTCAAGACAAAAAAATTGATAATTAAATACATTTTTATGGCTTTATCATACGGTAAGAAATAAATGACAAATAATATAAGCAATGAAACACCGAGCCAGTATATTTGAAAATTCTCCTTCCACCGCAAAGGATTTTATATTTGCGAACCCTTGTCGAAACATATTACGATTTGTATGTATCATTTAAATGACAAATTATTTATAGAAAATTTATTTGTTAAACTAAATGAAATTATATATATATATATATATATATAGATATAGAATATAACAGCCTTAAAAGATAAATTCTTAAGTACAGTTTACTTTCTTGGCGAAATGTAAGATGTTTGACATCTCTGAATAAATGTACATCTTTTACAAATGTTATTAATAATATAAATATCCTATATATTAAAAATGAATCCTCTATATTTATTACAAATCTATCTTATTAAATATAGGTATTTAAATTAAAATGTTTACAGATCAATGAAAGGATACGCTTTTGAAACGAATGAACAGAAAGTACCTACCACCAGTTTATAGATAGTGCACATAAACCCCAAGATGAATGTGAAGTTAGAAATGGTTTCCACAGTAATTTTATAAGAACAGGAAATAAAACATATAAAAATATACTTTACATCTTTGCATGCTGAGATTTTTTTAACAATAGTGAAAAACGCATAGGCATTGTGTGCAATACTACGTTAAATAAGGCGAAAATTAAATTTAAGTTTTTCCATTAAATGATTTGAAAAAAAAAAAAAAAAAAAAAAAAAAAGAGTCAAATATTTTTTCCATTTCTTTAGTCCCTCGCTCCCCTCCAAAAAGTTCAATTCTATGTTTTTTATTCTTGTAAAAGTTATTTTTTATTAAGAAGCATTTTAAAATAATAAAATTTTAATTTTATAATAATTCATTTATTTTTATTCCTCTCTTCTCTGATAGACAAATTATAAATGCAACGTGCTTCCCTTTAAGGAAATTTTCCATTTATATGTCAATGTAACTAACACAGTATCTAATAAGAACTAAGATGGAAAAGTTTCATCACAATTTTTTAATAATTAATTACATAAATTGCATGCAGAATGAAGCTTATCAACGGATATATTTTATAATATCTTGCAGATTAAGATATTTGAGCAATGTGAAACTGGATTTCTGTGTGAACTTGTGTTGAAACTTCGATCTCAAGTGTTCTCTCCTGGTGATTATGTCTGCCGAGTAGGAGAAACAGGTAAATGATTTGTATCTTAAAATGTATCTAATTCACTCCATGTCATCTTTGTTAGTGAGGCGGTTAGTGGTATCGAGTACCATATTATTGGGATTGGTTCAAATTCCAGTGGAGTTTGTATATTGCCAGTTTGTATATTGCCTTTTTAGCATGGGGTATTTAAAATAACGTCAATCAAGAAGTTCCCTCGAGGGGTTCAAGACCTTTGGATTTCATCTCCCGGGTATCCTCCGTTCAAATTGGGGCGGAACTAGGTAATGCCACAGTACTACCTTTAAAATGTACACAAGGGCCTGCGTTCCTCTTGGCCGTGATGAATTCGTAAATCTGATTGAGATTCTCTCTTATATTCAATATTGAATTAATGCGCAATTATTACACAACTTCCGCTCTTTGAATAATAAGTTGGCAAAAATTACTTACATAATCAGTATTGGTATTGTCCATATTACATGTTTTTCCCTTTGTGATTGAATTCATACATCATTAAGTATCATAGCTTAAATTGCACCGGAGCCCACTGGAGCCCGGCTCCGGTACTTCTCAATTTTTAAGATAAATTACAATTTTAGCCGGAGCGCACCGAGCTCTAAATAAGATGAACTCCGGTACTTCTTTTTTATAAATCTGAACCACAATTTAAAGGGAAAAAATTAGAATTCCTAACGTTTTAGTTTAACAATAAGCAGACTTTGCAATACTCTATTTCCCTAGAAATACGAACTCATGAGAACATGCGACGTTCAAGTAAAGTCCCCTCACTCACATTTAAGAAGGGCAATAAATTTGGGGAAGTTTATTTAGGAACGCTTAAATTTCTTACCATGCCAATGTGCGTTAAGAGACAGCAAGTACAATAAGAGTGAAATACTGAGATAAACTGCTCAAGCACGTCCTATACGTCGTCTTCCCGCGGTATCCACTAATGGGGGTGGGGAAAGCGTAACCAGCAACTTTAAATTCATCCTGAGGAGTCAGATTCAGGACTCATTTTACCCCTGACATATCTGATTGATGGCTATAATTATATCAGCAGAGAGCCTCAGTCAAAGAAAATGTTCTCTCTCTCCCGAAGATTGCACTCATTTTTTGTTTCCACCCACTAATACACTCATTCCGTTTCGCCCTGGAATTTTCATCAGCTATATTTCAAGTATATTTAATTTTTGTGATGATAAAAGAACTTCCGCCCCCCTCTACGATCAGAGCATAAATTGGGCCGGAGCCCACCAGATCTCGGCTCCGGTGCTTCTTAGTTTTTGTAATAAATCATAATTCTAGCCGGAACGCACCGAAGCCCTGAATAAGAAGTAAAAATTTTATCTCGAAAATTTCATTTTAACAATAAAATTATATTAAAAATCGCTTATTAAATTTCAATTTATTTCTTTAAGTTTTATTTAATTACTTCAATATTTAATTATTTCAATAAATAATAATTAATTATCTAATAATTAAGCAATTAAATTATAATTAATTATATATAATTATTAATTAAATAACAAGTTATAAAAATTAATTAAATGGCTATTAATTAATTTGATAGTAATTAACTATTTAATTTTAAAATTATTAATGCGTTTATTAGTCATTTTATTTATTTATTTACTCTTGTTCCTCTTTGCTGACAGTCTTCCATAGGGCTCCGGTACTTCTAATCTTAGAAATTAAGCCCTGTTAAGTATACAAATTTCTCGTTTGTGTAATAAATTTCAAAATAAAGACTTTATCTCATACGTGTATTTTTTCAAAAATTTTAAAATAAAACCGTTTAAAGAGATTTCTTTTATGCTGCAAGATTTTCAAATGTAGTAAGATAAATTAAATAAAAATTACTAAAAAATTAAATAAAATTTAATAAGATGTTTAATAATTACGATATTAATAAATTTAATATTATCTTAGAATGTTATACTTGCCATGAAATATATTCAATCTAAAGTTACTCAAAATAAATGCACAAATTTTGTCTTTTAGGTCGCGAAATGTTTATCATCAACCACGGCAAAGTAGAGGTAGGATTTCATTATTCTCTCTCCCAACGCTTATTGCATACTGTTTAATGCTTGCTAATTGATATAGACTTCATATGATTCTAAGTTCAAGGGTAATTAGTGAAATTACCGAATCTCAGAATTTCAAATGAAGAAGAGGTTAAGTACACTAAACTATCTAGCACTGTATAATTTCCTATACCAGGGTCAAACTAATTTGTGTCTGATATCGTCCAGATTAGTAGCTTCCTAATCATGGCTTTTAATGAGTATTTCCGACATGATTTTAGGTACAGGAGTTTCGTTTAATTTTAGAAAATACTTTGTATAAAGATAATCATCAATTAAGCTCTCCTCGTTACGGATAATTTTACTTTAAAAGGAGGTGCGTTAATAGTTTTCAAATTTAATATGGTTTTGGAGTGTGAAATTAAAATAACTTTACTATTTAACGCTATAGTTTATTCGAAAACATTTGCTGTGTAATCAATTTAATTTAAGAAGTCAGAAAGTCAGAAGTTCACTTAGAAAAATGACTTACAAGCATATTTATAAAATGCTTTAAACTGTGTTCTAAAACAAATAATAATGTGTATTGGTTAAATCAAAGGACTTAGGATATTGATTACCTTATTAATTTCTGTACCTAAATTAATTTAAGTAGGAAGTTTTGATGAACGTTGCATAAATTAAGGATCATACGCCTGAACAGCAGATTGTAAGAAAATTATTTTCTGTTATAATTTCACTGCCACAATACCCACTGATACCATATTTATCATCAGTTTATAAATAAAAGTCATTTAAAGATTGATATTAATATTTAATTTTTTTAAAAGAGTAAAAATATTATTTAATGTTATTAAGATTTATATTATTATTTTTGTTAAGACTGATATTTTTATTTACTTTTCTCATAAGTGATATTTTAGAATGTTTGTTAAAATACTTTTCTAGTATAATGAGATGTAGTTTGTATGCTAGGCCTTCCCTCTGAGAAAACGTGATTAAATATACTCTTCTTCCTCAAAAGGAAAAACATTATCTGCACTGAAATATGTTACAAAGACAATGCAATGGCTCATGAGAAACGTAGCTTACGCATGATACAGTAGGATCAACAAATCTTAAAAAAAATGATGCGAAATGCATTGAACCGTTGACCATAGTACCAACTTACATATTCATTCGCTTTGTTTTCGTACGTCTAGCTACTGCATGTTTATTCATCAGTACAATATATGCTTGGATGGTAAGGGAAAAGGTAACATAGAAATGCACAATCCCATTAATGAAGTCTTGATTTACTTATTCTTCTCTCTCAATGATGTTTATTAAGTTTCAGACGTAGATAATAGGATATTCGGATCTGATTTAAGCTTCTGAGCACACACAAAAAGCTTCGTGCTATATCACATTTCACTAATGGCACCGTAGACTTTTTAACTTTCCATCGCTGAAGACTTTATTTTTTTATGAGGTTAATGCTCCGTACGATTTTCTTCGAACAACTGCAAGTCTGTCTCTCACACACGAAGATGCACTTTAAAATAATCGTATTGCATTTTTACTGCGATATTACTCAAGATAATTAGCATAAATTTTCTTAGGAATTTCAGTGCATGCTTTTATTTATTTTCATATTTTTCTTACCTTCAATAGAAAGTTTCAGTAGATATGACTAATGAGATTTAGCTTTTAAGCATAACTAATCAGGGCTTAGTTTTAGTTAGCGTTTTACCAGCCTCTGTTTTATTACATATGAGAATATTATGTCTTTGGCATTAATATCACAGGCCTAACAATAAGCAGTTATCTTTAAAATCAAGCAAATATTTATTGAATAGTTATGACTATGACTGTGTGTCGAAACATAATAGTATAGAATGATTCATCTAACAGTTCAAATGAAAATGTTGTTAACAGGACTTTAAAAATAATTAAGGAAAGCTAGGTGTACCAAAATGAGTTAAGAAATTTTACCAAACTTCATGTCGAGTCTTTACTAACTGAATTTTAAAAGGGGGGGGGGAATTATCACTTATTTCACTTTCTGATCTCGAGAGGTCTGGGTATGCTTAAGAAAGTCAAGGGAAAGTGTCAAGTTTCCAATCACTCACTCCTCTATTGCTGCGGATACTATGGCTAATTTCTCTAGGGCAGCAAGCGAATAAAGAAAAGAAACAGAAATGTTTAAATAAATTTATAATATTTTAATGTAAATAACAAGCTATATAATCTGCAAGTTATTACAATTTAATGCAATTATTTTCTTACAAAAATATTTCATGCTATGGTTTATAAAAGACAAAATAAATTCGAGTTAATAAAGTTATTTATATTATGATGCCTTTTGTGTAATGTTTAAGAATAATGTGTAAATTTGTAAAATTCTACGATATTTTTTGCTATTATTTTATAGGTAATCGTACCAAATCCTGCCAACAATAAAGATATGGTTGTTGCCGTTTTAACTGAAGGAAATTACTTCGGAGAAATAAGTTTGCTGAGATTAGATGGCGTGCAAAATAGGTACTTGCAGAAATATTTTATTTTTTGTAATATTCAGAAAACTGGATTCCTATGTAGAATATAGACATTCTACATAGGAATCCAGTTTTCTGAATATTATTTTGATAAATTAATGAACTAAACATTAGATAAAATTAAACTTTAAGATTCTGTCTGCTCCTTCGTAATGCAAATTGATGCTGCAGAATAATTAAGCCTGTGATGTAACTGTTTTTCGTCTTTGCACTAGTGGCTCAGTGTAATTTTTACGCGCATATATTGTGTGCATGATTAATTCTATAAGAATAAAAGCAACATGTATGGATAAATTTCTATTGCAATTATACGTTTTGCAGTGTACCTAATTTCATCGCAAAGATACCAATATTTCTTTGACTCAGTGCCACTTTAGATTGGCATAGATATTGTATGCGACGTCATACATTTTTAGGAGCTAGAAATATGAAGTGCCTCTAATGATTAAATACTTATTCTGAATTCTTTGCTGCAAAAATATATGTTATCTTCTAAGTGTCAAAAATGTAAAATAAATAGGGGTTGTATTTCTTACCAAGTAAGAAATGAAAACATGCAATAAAAATGTAGCGCCACTATAAGAGCGTCACTATCGTCAACAAACACATATTGGAACAGAATCTTGTATTTACCCTTATAATAAACGTAAATAATTGACAATAATTGCTAACTATTTTTGATCTCGCTAAACAAGAATCTGTTTGGTTCTTCTTATATTCATAATTCCACATATTATACATTTTAATGGATTAATAAACAACGTAAAGTTTTTCTTCTTCATTTTGAAAATCAAAATAATTACCAGGTAAAAGACTGTAAATCTATTTAAAAATAAGCACACAAAAGAAGCATTCTTACATGGAATGAATTAAGCAAAATTCTGTTGACTTTTAAATACAGGTCTCTCATCTTTAGAAGCAATTTAGGACTGCATTTTTGTATTTGCCGGGTAGAAAAACGCGCTAGCGTAAAATTAACGTTTTTCTACCCGTTAGACTACGGATATAATTAACGGACCTATAAATTGTTTTAAGACGCTATGCTTTTTCATTTGATATTTCAAAAAGAGTAGACATAAAAATTAAGATGAAGCGTATAGAAGTTTGAATGATATTAAAACCTGCATGAAAATGAACAAATACACGTTAATATGTTGCTATGAAAGCAAAACTAAATAAAGTTTTATGAATTAATTAATAATAACTTTCATAAAATATTATGTATGTGTTGTAACTATTTCTAAAAATTATTTCATGGGACTATTTGGTAAGTATATACAATGAAGGAAATATAGAGAACTGCACAAAACAGAATTTACAAGATGTTTCTAAAATGGGAAATTCATATTCTTTAACTTCGAAATCATTGTAAGAAATGAAAAACATTCAAGAGAGAAACAAATAGAAAAGAATGTTTTTGTAATCAAACTTTAGTTATAATTCTTATGCTTTCATTAAAAATTAGGGATCTTTATAACCCTATTTCTGCTCAGTTTAAAAACCATCGTGTGAATTTGGAAAAAGTCTAAAAACTTGAATTATCGAAAATGAGATCTTCCCATTTATGCGCTTCACACACATGAGCACTTTTGTCTCTTTCGTTAGTCAACAACGCCCGGCTGTGCCTACAATTGTTTGAGCAGCCGCTTAAAATGTTACCTACCCACATCTAAACGCATCACCTTTGTAATAAGATTTACCATGCAGAAAGAGAAAAAATTGCTTTGAACTATGTCATTAATGGTATGTGTTAAATTGGCTGCCAGCCAAATTAGTAATGCAGGCACTGTCAAAATTAAATTCTAAGAATTGAGTTAAGTTTTAGGAACACACCTAATAATAATAAATAAATGGAATGAAAACGCATTTACCTCCGAACATAACGTATGGTTAGCTTGATTTGTTCAGACGAATTATGTGCTTCTAAAATATAAAAGGTTACTTTCATAATAATACAAATCAAATTGCAGATATCGTTGACTTCTGATTACATATACATGCAGGAAGCTGATCCTATACTGTACTTGTTGAAGGAACCTTGTTTGCAGTTAACGCAGAGAGAGAATATTGGAAACTCTTCGTTAATGCTAGTTTTGATACCAGATTCAACTTTGCTCAAACCCAGAAAAAATTATAATATTCTTATCTACCCATTCATTAGTGAGGTAAACATTATTAAAATAGCTTTGCTGTAGTTGAAATTCATGTAATAATATTTCGAAAATTAAAACATTTTTTTTTATTCACCGGCTTACTTCTAATCGTGTTACAATAGAAACTATTCAGCATTAATAATACGGTATAAACTTAATTAAAAATTTAGTATTTATATTTTGCGAGGAGCGGCAAATAATTCTCACTCGCTTTATTTAACAAGTTGACATTTTAAAATTTGACACATGTTGAATACCATTAAGAGCACTGCGAACCTATCTCTCTATGTCTAAGAAAATAAACAAAGAAAAATATTACCATCAAATTCCTTTTAAAAAGATACAGAGAATTATAAAAATCCTAAATAAAAGTCATAAATTGCATTAATAAAAATCATGGAAAACTGCCTTGTTATTCATACAATATTGCTTTATCCAAAAGGCGGACGGCAGACGTTAGATCTATTGGATATTCAGAGCTTCTGTGCCTCTCCAGAAGAGACTTAATGGCAGTAAGTATATTAATTGTCAACCTTTCTTGATGATTTAACTGGATATACATTTATGGACATTAAAAGTTACAAACTGTTCTAAATAACTGAATTTCAGAGTTACAGAACCAGTCCGTTGAATCTGTACATGTAAACTGTAATTAAAAATCGTATAGTTTACGAAAATTAAAAAATATTGTTTTAATTTTTGTACATAATGTTTATTTTCTTTCATGCAAAAGCAGATTTTCTAATTTTATTGCAATTTGGTGTTTATCAAAACTTTTCTTTTCCGTTTTTTTCTGATTTTACCTTCGCATGCTTAACATTTGGTAGTTCAAAGTCTGTAGAGATTAAAAAAAATTATAAAAATCAAAGAAATACAATTACAGTGTTGCAGAATGTAGCTTGCAAGGAAAAAGATTCCCCCCCCCAGTAGGAATTTGTTTTGCATGAAAATATTTCAGCTCTTTCTTTCTTTTCTAGATCAAGGAGTCATACAATAATCAATAAACTTACTGTGTGTACAATAATCAGTAAACATACAATAATCAGTAAATATACAATATAATTAGTAAACTTATGAGTTTATTTTCCTTTTATACCCCATTTTTATGCTTATACATTTTTGAAATCTTTACGAGAATTTATACTAGTTTGTAACAAATGGAGACTGTGTGCTTGTGACATGGAGAACAATCCAATATTGCTTCAACAGGATTTCTACATATATGCTTATAAATTAAACGGCTTGCGTGTGCAGTATAAAATGCATTTAATTAATTATCACGTAGGAAATGCTGAAAGGTAAATTTATTCTTCATTATTGGTCCATGCATAGAACTCAAAAAATTTCTCGAGCTTTCTTTATGCGTTTGTCATTTTTCTTGGAATCACTAGTAAACATAAGAAATAAAATGTAGTGCAAAAGTGGATATTTATTTAATTTCTTTTACATTCAGTGACGATTATTACCTTTAAATTATTGTCATCGTAACAGCATACTGAGCATAATTTAAGCACGTAGAACTGCATTTTAACCTTTTTCTCAAAACTTTGGAAACACTGGAATTACATCATTTAAACTTAGTCACATTGGAGATTGAAAATTGTATTCGCCATTAACTTAGAAATGTAAACGATTTAAAAATTTTTAATCTCCCCGTCTATGTGAAACGTATTTTAAAAGAATTTGTGAGAATTTATTTAATTTACTTAACAGTTACTTTAAGCAGCTTTCCTGTCGTTCTTACTTTCAATTCACACTTTCTTACCACAATGTAAATTGAGTAGTGCGCGTTATTCAAATTATGCCTGCTTGAAGGCTACGCTTTGATTCTCCAAAGATTAGAATTCTATAGCGTTGAGCTATTCTTACTATTAAGTTTGTTTACGCAGACTTTGCAGTTAGAGCCAGCATTGGAAATATTTAACCTGTGAAGCCGTTAGGCTGTATTTAACTTACTTTCAGTTATTCATTACCTTTTGAATCAAGCCAAAAGTTTTAGCTTTTGTAAGCGCGAGTTCTGTACACCCTTCTTCTGGGTTTTAGCATTTAAGGACTTGGTGATGATTCACCAAACAACCAATACATTTTATGGTAGCCAAGCATACAAGACTTTATAAATTAACGTATTCAAGCACTGGGTTTTTAAAAAAGAGCGAATCATGGAAAGAATGCAAACTTCAAATCTAATTGATCAACAAGTTTTTAATTTGATTAATTTTTCGTCAGTTAATCTAATCACCATCCACTTATCAGGAATTTATAAAGCCAAGGAATACTTCTGAAAAATCATGCCTGTCCGACAGAGAATTTTTTTTATTATTTTATTCTAAAATGCCCATCCTATTTTGAAATGGAGAATGATAATTTAATAAAATAATTTTATGGTTCATAAAAACGTTATTCAAGGAAATAATTAATATTTCTTGAAATACTTAAATGTTTTGCTTTTAAGATTCATGAAATTAATTTAGGAAAATGTTCTTGCAGAAATCTTTATGTACTGTTAAAAGTTTTAAAAATTTCTTATATTGGTAAAAGATAAAATATTCCATTTCATGTTTTAGGCTTTAGTTGAATACCCTGAAGCTAAGTCCATTTTAGAAGCACAAGCTAAGAGAAGGTAATTCTCCATTACTTTGAAATTATTCAATTAAAAATAAATCTGAAGATTTTATATTACGCCCAAAAGGGGCGTTTTTTAACGTTTTGTGTGTTATTTTTATTTATTAAATATCATGTTCTTTACACTTAAACAATAAAATTGAATCCAACAGTAGTATCAGAAAATATTTAAAAAGAGCACATCTTTACAATTTCTGGATAGACAGTCTTGCGCGCTGGAGATAATTTTTTTTTTTTTTTTTTTTCTGTACAGTGTTGCCATTGCTCGTTTTGAAATCGTTTAGTTTATTAATCAAAAATTTATTAAAGTCTTACAAAATATGAAATCGATAATAAAACAAACTCCAAATTCTTAATTTAGACTTTTGGGAATTTGGGCTTCCACACGCCCATAGTCGAGTGAAGGATTACGTTATTCAAGAATTTGATGTCTCTAGGTGCCGTTGTTTTTTTTATAATGCAAGAAACATACATACATTTTTGCAGATTCTTCATTATTCAATTTCTTTAAATATAATGCAGGGTTTTAATATTTGGTGGCACCAATTTGAAAAGGAAAACGCAAATATATAAATTCATTACCTTTTGTTACCTCGTTGTGAAATTCATGATAACGGACGACGCAAAATGCCAAAACAAAATTAATAGCCCTTTTCGGCAAATTGTCCCTTTGGGGTAGTAATATTCTGTTCATTTTTAACTTCATTATTAAAACCGAATTTTCTTAACTTATATTATTGATCAATTAAAAATAACACACACAGAGACACAGCTGTCAGCAAGACAAGACATAACCGCGATTGTATGATATTTAATAATATCTAGTATAATCGTAAAGTATGTTTTATCTTATGACATTCAGTCGATTTTCTCAATATGTAGCATTTAATTGTTAACTTAACGATGTGATGTCACATTATTGAGGCGGTGGGATGTTGACACATTTTAAGAACGATTTCGGTAAAGAATTAAAAAAGTTTTCACAATAAAGATTTATGGCAATAGCTTTTTATTTGATATGAGAAATGAACTCTACTACATTTAAATTTAATTTTCTTTTGAAATGTCATATGTAAACAAGCTGTGGAGTGAAGGATATGTTTTTGCTCTTTCCAAAGAGAAATATTCTTATTTCGTAATTCCAAAACGTTGTGAAATGCATGATCTTAAAATTTCGAAGTATAAAATAAGCAAACATTAATCGGAAAGGGAAATTCGTCAGCTATTACTTCAACATGCAAAGAAGACTACAGATTAATATTTATAAAACATGTATTGTTTCTAATGTTTCTAAAGTTAAATCGTTGGTAACAAGAGAAAATCCGGCAGTGCAGAAATGTAAAGTCTTCAAATACATTTGTAGTAACAATAAATAAAATAATAAACCAAAATCTACAATTTAAAACAAGTTAAACATATAATATCCACCAGCTTTTACCGAAGCACGTGGCTCAACGAGGAGCAATTTGTAGAACTCTGTATGAAAACAGGAGATAAATAGAAATACACTGTGACCTTTGATGAAGCATTAGTTTATCTAAATGACTGCAGCAAAAAAGGTCTATTTATTATGAGAAATGAAGGAACAAAATGTACAGACCTGGCACCATTAATGAAAATGAAGTTTCAATAAGAGGGTTTAGGATTATAGCAGTAGTTTCTTACAATGGGAAATTAAAAATAAAAAGGAATCGGAAAAAATATAATTATCAACTCGACTTACGATAAAAAGAGAGTTTCACTTCCGATATTTACAGAAGAAATTCCATATCTTTATCCCAATGACTTCCAAAGAATGTAATTTCATCAAGACAGAACGACAAGTCATACTTCGAAAAGTACCATTATATTCCTCAAAACAATAGAGACTGATAACATATATTACATATACACCTTTTCAATGTATTTCTAAGAAGTCCTCTGACGTTTCGTATATGGTCTATTGTGCGTCCGGTCTCTTAAAAAGAGGTTTTTCTAACTCACCACGATTGAGAGACTCTGGAAAGTAGTCGAAGAGGAATGGAAATCAATACTCCTGGAAATTTTATGAAAAACTCCTTTGTCATGAAAATCGTAATGTAGACTTATGGTAAAAAAAAAAAAAAAAAAAAAAAAAAAAAAACAGATCGAGTATTTAAAAATGCTCAATACATTTTACACGTTAATTTACCTCCAAAAAATAACTTGTTAGCTGATACACACTCTGTGTTAGATATCAGCTAACAAGTTATTTTTTGGAGGGGGAAGTGAGCACCTTTCTACCTACAGAATTTGGTATACTGAAAATGACAGTGCATAATGCCTATTGCCCATATCACAGTATTTTTAAAAAAAAATTAAATTCGCTATGAATAAAGCCGAATATTCTTTTCGACCATTTTTGAATACCTGAAATGTGAAGTGTACATCATTAAATCAAAGAAATTAAATATAATACATTTACTCCTTCTCGAAAGTTAGTATGTTGCATTTTGTCAATAAAATGGATTGGTGCTTACGTGAAAGGTCATCAGTGAAATTATTTCGCAAGAAAAATATTCGCAAAATGCGCTGTTCTTAGATCAGATTCATCAGAAGAAAAAAATGGAAACCCGCATGTAAAATTCTTAGACATGTAGCTTTCTATACTTGTGAGAAAGATTACACCATTATTCAGAGCTACTCAAAAGGAATGCCCATTCACTCGTATACTATATTTTGCAAATTTCATGAGAATGATCTGTATGAATCATTGCTTCTAATTTTTATTAGTATAATAAATCTGTTTGAGTGACAATTTTTAATAAAACTTTCGTCAAAAAAAAAAAATTAACAAAACGGCATATGAACATTTTTAGAATTTCAGTTTGTGGATTTTCAATGGAAAACGTTTAGATCATTGTTCATCTTCATGGTCATCTATTAAAATGCAGTCTTTATCAGACTTACCAACATTTTCTCTTTCTATTTCGCTTTCCTCGTCATTTGAATATTTCACTAGTAACAATCTTTTTTTTATCTGGGCTGAATTATAACTCTACTGTCATTGTTTAGATCACTCCAGGAATTAAATTTATTTTCTAAATTGCCGAACTATTATCACTGTTAGTTTCCAAATTGATGCAAATTCATTCATTTCTTTTCAGGATATATAATATTAAAATACGCATAAAATGGTCATTCAGTATCACTTGAACGTCTTGGCCGTTGCTGTAGAAAGATTCGAAAGTTAAAAATAAGTCCATGTATATTATAAAATCAGAGTGTTATCGCTTGTTCATACTTGTAACCCCCCACATGTGTTACGACCGAAAGCGTCAAGTTGCAATGGTGACATACGGCAGATGTCAGTGGCTCTCTGGCTAGACGGCCATATATCAGTTGCTCTCTGGCTAGACGGCCGTATGTCAGTTACTTTCTAGCTGTTAGTTACTATGTGGTGCCATACGGCAGATGTCAGTTACTTTCTGTTTAGTTACTTTCTGGCGATGGTTCTATAACTTGCTTTCATTTTATATAAATGTGTATTTAATTTTAATATGTTACACACACCGCTTTCTTAACACCAACATTTTTATTAAGATGTACTCACGGTACAGAAATTGTTACTAGATAAAGGGGCACAAATTTATATTTTAAGAAGTAAGTTATTTCTTTGCATTTTCAGTTTACAAGCACGGTAACATTAATTCGATTTTTACACTAATATAGCTGTTCTGTAACGCATAGGTAGAATTATTAATAGCAAGGTTATTTTAAGGCAAATTTGTTTCTTATAGCTGATTAAATTTCTATTTCCTGATTACAGGTTTTTTATTTATTATTTTTTTAAATTTTATTTTAGAATGAAAACAAATTTACAAGCCCAAAGAGCATTCAGCGTGGATACGTTGCTTCGAAGTTCACAAGATTATTCTTCACTGGATAGCGGAATAGCTAAAGAAGAAAACAGAGGTAAGCGGCTTTTATTTAATTTAAATAAGTAAATACCATTTCTACTCGCGTTTCCCCCTCTCAATTTTCAGCTCAAGGTTTTGAAAATTTTTTTAATATTCACGTAATCTCACCTTTCCTTAAGGCGTTCAGAAAGCGAACTTTCCTAAATTTTAGAATAGATTCTTCCACGTAATGTTGTTTTTGTCTTACTAACTGATTTGCTTGGTGAATTTTGAGATAAGAAAACGAAGATATGTTAATGCTGCTGATGGTTCTGAAAATTATTGCACGAGATAGGACAGACTGAACTTTAACAAAGACTTGGACAATGGTTACAATGGTAATGATCCTGCAAATTGCAGTAGATAACACTTCCAGCAGCAGTTTTGATTAGAGCCTTAGGGAGTAGCAGTGGACAACAATTAGAGCGAGCGTGACTCGACGTATAGGGAAATAAAAATGAAGATATCTTATTAGATACTGTAAGGTTAATACTAGTATGTGTTTTTATTAAAATGGTGGTCTCTTTTAAATAAACAATATTGTGATAATTACCGGTAGTTATTCATGAATACTTTTCATTTACTTTAGACGCATCCACTGGAAATTAAATTATTAGCATAATTTTCCTCTTTTAATTTTCGTACGATAAAATTAGTAAAAAAAGGGGGAAATGAGCGAGTAAATACAGTATATTTATGATCACTAGTATGAGAAATCCTGATTTGTAGAGCCATTAGATTTATTTTGGTGCAAGTGACGTGAAAAAATGTACAATGCCGTCATCGGGATTCGAATACCGTGCCTGCGACGTGCTTCCAGTTACATCCCATAGGGACATGGGAAGGAGGAAGAAATTACTTTACATTCTCCTTGAAGTATGATCTTCACAGCCGAATTTTTTTTTAGAAAGTAAATGCGAAACTCTTCGTGTTGTATGAGGTATGCCCCGAGGCTTACAGAAATAAGTAAACAACCCAATACTAACAATTTAAAACAATTCTTACTATTAAAATTAGTTTCTACGCAAAAACGAGCAATTATGTCAGCGGGCAAGAAAGCAGATTTTACGGTGCACAAAACTGAAAGTTTATTTTTGATTCCACTCGACAAAAAGATACTGAAGGTGCAGAGACTGATTTAATTCATCACTTTTCTACTGAGTTTCGACTGTAAACAAATGGCGGTTTGTTAGGCTTAACTCGCTGCTTAAACTTTTAAATAGTTGATAATTCTACAGCTATTGCATGCAGATTAACTAAAGGCATAAAAACCTTAATCGTAACATAAAAAACACATAATTTTATCAGTTTTAAAGCAAGAAATGCACAATTTACAAACATATAAGAATGAAAAAAAACTAAGCTCACCGAGCCGGGTAACAGAGTGGGTATATATATATATATATATATATCGCATGTATATATATATATATATATATATATATACATGCGATTGGTTCATCTGACTGCAACGAAAAAGGAAGGTGCACAATTACATGTTATAGCAGTCCCATATACAAAATTTCAACGCTCCACGAATACTCGTTCTTGAGTTATGGGAGATGTATACATACTTCAAGAAAAAATTCTCTTCTGAATGCATTTTAAATCCAATTTACAATCCTTTTTGGCAAAAATAGTCATTTAATCAGCTTGTACGTACAGATATCACACAAAAACATCCTTCAAATGGTTTCTAGAGAGGCTGAAATGGATATTTTCGTTGAAATATAATACCTGAAAGTTTTCGCGATTGCAATATTTCCTTTACTTCATATAGGAAAGTAAAAAATTGTTTGAAATTAAAAACACCACTGACGCGAAACGTCTTCTTAATACACGGATCTTGGCTGATTTTGACCTGCAGCCAAAAAAGATTCCCGACACTTGATTTAGAATATGTTTAATTTTGTTGATCTAAGCATGAAAATAACATACTTTTTAAATTTTTAAAATTATAATTATAATAATGCGATAAATTTCCCTTTTGAAATCATTAGAGTAATATAGGACCCAACTAAATGTTTCCGTCTTGAATAGGCAATTGATGTAGGATATAAATTTCACATCTAGTTCGAATTAAGGAAGAAACGATATTAAATAATAAAGCATATTACGCGAAAAGAGGAAAATATAGTTTATAAATTCATCTTCTATTTCGTTTAAGATTATACATTTAGAGTATTTCTTTTATTGTATTTTAGGTGCTAGAGTTTCCTATTATTCTCATCCTAAAACGTCAACTAAGCTGTCATAAATATCGTACTAAATTCAGAAGCAGGCAAATTAAATGGAAATGTGTATGTATTGGGTGGGGATATGTGATATAATTTTAAATTTTAAGGATTTAAGAATCCTTAAAAACACCTGCATTTCGATATTTGAGCAATATTAGCTGGTATTTATATAGTTCTAATTAATCAATAATCTTTGTATTAACAGTTATCTGTACGTTTAATTTTGTCTTTTCATAGTTTCTGCTGTTAAAATAAAGTCTTCTTCTAGTATACGTAGTATTGTTTACGAGTCTTAATCACTGCTTAACACATCTCCTTTCAAAACGTTTAAGTCTGTTACAAAGAAGATACGTTCCTTTCATTAATGTGATATAATATATATGTAGCTTTTGTTTAATTAGAAATAAGTTTTAGAAAATTTAATAAATTGTTATATTTCATAGTGTGAGGCCTAAACCACGAATTATTTAATATGTCTTACTTTTGCAGGTCATGATGTATCAGAAATAAAAGCCATGATCGAAGAATTGAAAAACGCCAATAAAGTGAGCATATGTTTTATTTCCTAGCAAAATTTTTATTATTGCTCTTTGAAAATTTGCTAATTTATTCAAAATGCTTCGTGTGGCACTACGTGTAATAAGTAACGCAGGTAATTTTCTAAAAAATGCTGTAAGGAAAACAACACAATTGTTAATGAAATGTTGTTTAAGCGTGTTTATTCTCCTTTAAAACGTGACTTGAAGATTTAAGTTTATTTTAAACGATCATTAAATATGATAAAATATAAGTAGCATCACCTTTTTGAAATATAACGGTAATTTACATTTTTCATGTTACTCCTACATATCGCCTTAAAACGGAATTCACAAACATTTTCTTTCATATCATGACTAATCATGAATTTTTTCCTTCATTTTTATATGTTTTTGATAATTAAACGTTTTATTATTTTACTTATTTAATATTGATATTATTTGACGGTGTTTTCTAAAGCATTACTAACTCATTAAATGCTTGCTTTCTAGATACTGCTAATGTAGTAACACTTATTTTTTATGAACCTATTTGTCCAAATTTCCTGTTTTCTTTGTTTCGCAGTTTTAACTCAGTTTTTTTAAAGTGTATTAAATAAGTTTCTGTCTCTATATTGGCTTCCTAGCCGAGAATATGATGATTAGCGAATTAATACATGGACCATTGTAATTGTATTGTCGAAACTGTTGATTTGTAAATCCTTGTAAGAAGTTGATGACCCATGAGTTTCAGGTTCTCAAATACCATTCCTCCGTACATCTTGATGCAGAATGAAAGATTTGAGTTAGTTTATCCTATTCCTACGGCTAGTCTCTCGCGGTGTCTGTTCGTGGCGAGCTACTGATCGGGGGGGGGGGAATTATCTGCTTTCATATTGACTAGAACGATCGTTTATGCGGTGGTCCGTTCGAGAGCGGCAGAGACTATACGGTTATTGCCAAGTTCGTCTCGAGCTGTGTGTATCTCGATATACAAATTTAGATATAAACCAGGGGGCTTGGTCTTCCAAGTCTTGTATACAGATGTGCAGTACCGCTGTCTAGAAGCATTCAAAGGTCTGTGTCTAATAACATTCCAAGGTCTCAGATCATGCACCTCTGCCATACATGATTTTTCATGTATGGCAGACAGGTTTACACAATAATAATTATTTCCATTATTATACAATAACAATAATGGAAATCAATTATTTATACAACAATTATAATTTACAATAATCTACGTGATTTCCACAATAATACATGCCCCATATACAGATTAATTTTGTTATTAACTGTTTATGAAACAGTACGAATATTATGCTTCAAAATATTTGTAACGTTCCATTATGTTATTTAACCAGTTATCATGATTCAAATCTTTATTGTCATTTTTTTCCGTTTCCCTACAAGAATATAAATCAGGTTTAATAATATTTAATGGTTTTATAATGGTTAAACAAGGTTTCATAATATTTAAATTGAGGGTTTTGGATTCCAAGTCAGAGCATGTTTCTGCCTTTCAAGACCACGTTACTTGGTTTCTGATAGCTCTACAAAGACTGTATTATTTAATTTTGTTTATATTTTAAACTGTTACGTCTGTGAGAAGTTTTGAGCAACTTCAAATTAATCCAACTGTGTAGCCTTTGGCTACAAAGTTTTAAATTTGAATTTAACTGTTACTTTAATTTACATCGGAACAAGTGCTGGTTGATCTGTAAGCACCAGATGTGCAATTTATGTTCAAAGTTCTAATTTAATAAAAAAGTTATTTTGTAATCTTCTTAAGTCTTTGTCACTATTTTCAGGCGAAGGATAACTCGTTTCAACTGTGTTAGGAGTTTGGTTACCAGTTTATTCTACCAAAGAACATCAAACGCTATGTAGTATTCGTAAATTTATCCACTGAACTGATTTACCCATTTAAATAGAAAGCAGCTATTTACGGAAGAATTATGAAACAGAAGTCTATTCACACTTCTGATTTTTTTCGTCAAAATATGTAGTTATATGAACATACTTTCTCCAGAAATTTCTTTAATTTTGGGAAATTTATAATATTTGTAATCAGCATATATTGAATGTGAATGAAAATGACATTATCATGAATACTTTGAAAAATGTACGCAAATATAGGTATGTTGTCGCAATTAATTTTATTGGTGACTTTATTGACAGAAATTTTGAAGTGTTGCTAGGCGACTGCAGACGATTCGAATCCAAAGTTTCATGTTTTTAACCTTAACGTCTTCTGAACGTTTCGCCATTTTAGCATAATTTGTCTTGTAAACAGTAAATTGAAGAACTTACCTAGGGCAAAAAATGAAACTGATCCCTCAACATTTTCGTGCGATTATTTTTCATAACATTCGACATGGATATCAAGACAAGAGTGCTTCGATGAACTTAATTCTTCATACAGCGACAAAGTACCATCTCACAGTACTGTAGAAAACTGGTATAACGAATTCAATCGTCGTCGACGTTCGCTCCAGGATGAATTCCGTAAAGGTCGTCCAAAATCGGATGTTGAACCAGAAAATATTGATGTTCTGCCTGAACTGATAAAGCAAAGTCATCATGTGGCATACCGTGAGATTGAGGTATCTTTGGGCATTAGTATAATATACATCAATAAGATGTTACATGAACATCGGCCGTAAAAAAGATTTGTTCGAGCTGGATACCGCATAATCTAACAAACGCTCAAAAGAAGACTCATGTTAATTGGTGCAAGGAAATGTTGCAAAAATACGTTCAAGATGCATCAAAGGCTGTGTATAACATCAACACAGATGACGAATAATAGATCTATTCACGTGAGCCCGAAACAAAACAGCAGTTGACTGTACGGGTCTTCCAAGAGAAGCCAAATCCAACAAAAGTTGTTCGCGGAAGAAGCACATCGAAGCAAATGGTTGCCTAATATTTCGTCATTACCTATCACGTGGAGACAATTGCGTTAGAGCAACGCAGGACGGTCAATTCCAAATGGTACACGACCGTTTGTTTGCCAGAAGTCATAGGAGAAATTCGAAAAAAAAGCAGATGAAGAGGCGAATCGTTATTCATCATGACAATGCTAGCTTTCGCGCATCGGCTTAAGCAAAGGAATTTTTGATAGGCCAAAACGTCGAATTGATGATTCATTCGCCTCAAAGTCCTGATTTGGCACCCAATAACATTTTTTTATTCCTGGACATTAAAAATAAATTACGTGGTCAGTGATTAACGACACCCGAAGAAGCGGTTGATGTATTCAAAACCTATAGATTGGAGTTACCTTCATCGGAGTGGAAAAAAGTGCTTCAAAAATTGGTTCAAACGCATGGCAAAAGTGTATTGATCTTCATGGAAATATTTTGAAAAAGAATAAAACGAATTTCGATCATAAACATTTGTTTTTTCGTTATTAGGCCAGAAGTATAAATAGCAATCTTCGTAATATCTATGTTAACATAAAAAAAAGACTTTAAACTTCTTAGATTTTTTAATTCTTAATGCGCTATCACTAAACTGTAATTTAATTACTCCTTAAAAATGTAAACTTTTGCTATGAAATATTTGAGAGTTTTGCCATTTTCATTATAATCAATTTTATTTTATTTTCAGGTTCCAGGGAGAACAGTATGGCAACTTATAGCTAGAGTAAGAAAGTTATTTTCATCCTTTTATATTTCAAACTTTTTACCCTTCACTATGACGTAAATGGAGTTTTTCATTTACATCATATGTATATAATTATTAATATTAACATGACCGATATAAAAATGCGAAAATTACCTTAAACTTCTAATTTTAGATTGGCCGTACGTCTAAAAGTATCTTTAGACTTGTATAAAAGCTATAAAAGTATATCGAGTAGTATAAAAGCTAGAAAAAGTTAGAGTGCTTTATTAATTTACCGCATCTGACGCTATATATCTTTACATAACTGATACTGACTTGTTATTTATTATCGTATCTGTTATGGTGTATCTTATCTGATGTTTTATTTTCGAGACACTTGTGGGCTCCGTTCCGGTACTTCTTAGTTTTTAGGACAAATCATAATTTTTGCCAGAGCGCACCGGAGCTCTAAATAAGAGGGTTCCGACACTCGTTTTATGTAATTAGAAAACAATTTCTGTTGAAACCTGATCTCAAACATTTTATTTTTAGTAACCAAATTATATTAAAAATCGCTTATTTAATTTTATCTCTTTACATGCTATTAAGTTTTAATTATTTAATTTTTTAGTAATGATTTAATTATTTTAATAATTAATTATTTAATTTTTAATTATTATTTATTTTATTAGTCCAAAGAGCTTTGTCCCTGAAGGACTACTGCCTTCGTTTTGAGATTTTGCGTTGGTTCACTATAAATGTCCGTTTCACTTTTCAAACTGTTGTCACCAAAATGTTAGACTCCTGCATTATATTTGAAGAAATTAAATAATGGAAAATCTGCATAAATGTATGTATATTTCTCGCATTGTGATAAAATAACGGTACATAAAGCCATCGAATTTTGAATGACTTAATCCTACTGCGAATATGGGCATGTGGAAGCCCAAATTTGAAATTTGGAATTTGTTTTATTATCGATTTCATATTTTGTAAAACTTGAACGAATTTTTGATTAACAAACTCACGAATTTCAAAGCGAGCAATGGCAACGTTGTAGAGAAAAAACATTTTTATCTCCAGCGCGGGAGACTCTGTATCAAAAAATTCTAAAGGATATGCTCAGTTTAAAACTATTTTGTGATATTGCTGAACTGAATTTTATGGTTTAAGTGCGAAGAACGTGATATTTAATAAATAAAGGTAACAGACAGGATGTTAAAAAAACTGCCCTTTGGACGCAATTAAAAATCTGAAACCTTTCAGAATTTTTTCCTTTTAGTTATTTTATTTATTTATTAATTCTTGTTCCTTTTTCCTAACGGTCTTCCGAAGGGCTCCGGCACTTCTAACTTTAGAAATTAATCCCTGACATTTAAGCAATAAGTTGTATACGCTGTTTCAAGGATTTACAGTTAAACTTTCAGAGAAGTAATGTTATAAAGTTTTAAGTACCATACGAATTTTTAAAGAAATTATGATATGATGCTAAAAATTAAATAGCTTAAAAATGTTAAAATTTTTCTGTTTTATTTTAAAATTATTATTTATTTCTCTTCTGCTTTTCTACCATTATTAACCTAAGAGAAATTCTGCCTTATTGATATACAGAGTAATGCAGTTCGATACGATGGCAAGCAAAATATTTGATTGAATTTTAAAAGTTAAAAAAATAAGAGATTAAATAAAAAGATGCCAAAAATATTAAAAAAAACCTTAGTCGTATACATATCAAATGTTTATTTTTAGAATTATATAATATACATATTTTACAATAGTCTTTCGACAATATATTAGCCAATTTCTCCACTGAATATGCCAAATCACGCAGTGTTTAACTCCCTTTAAAGGCGTTATCTATGAATGACATCCTATGATAAAAATGTTTTATATACACTGACTAAATTCTGCAAATCTTGCTGCAACGCATTTATACGAAAACCAGAACCTACAGTTATATCAACAAATTTTGTTTAAGGAAGATAATGTTCCCACAGAAACGACATTCCAAGCTAAAATTTCAGAACATATCAATTCAGAACAATATATATATTTGCGCTACATGAAAATTATTTCTTGTTTTCCTCTATACCATTCGAAACTGTATCTTCTAGTCTAGTTTTCAAAGAAGATTCAAACATACTAAAACTTCTCTTTTGTTAAAAATAATGTTAATTCCGGACTTAAGTCTATTGTTAGTTTTCCCTTCAGTCTTATATGGAATCAGCTCATGACATTTCATTTCTACTCAGCAATTTTGAAATAATACTAGGCATGAAAATTGAGTTATGTACGAATTTAATATAATGTTGTGTCTCTTTAATTTATTCACTGATCTTATATTAACCCCAAAATAGAACAAACAATATTTTATTGTTAAGTTGCATATTCTAAGCATACTTTTCTTATTTCTGAATAGTTTATTTTCTGTTGAGATAATTTACTAAATTGTTTTAATATTTTTCAAAGTGTGAAGTTCTCCAAGCAAGATTGTGTGAAAAGGAGAAAGAAGTAGAAGATTCAAAGAGGCGGATACAAGAACTAGAGCAACTACTTGTCTCCGTCCATTGCCCAAACCCGTCAAGAATTCAAGAAGAAATGCCAGCAGATGAATCAGATATTAGTTCAGTTAAGCATCTGCGACCTAATAACAAAGTTGTAAAGCAGTTTTCTCAAGACGAAGGAAGAAATGTGACGAGAGATACTTCAGATAATTCTGCAAATGAGACTATGAATTCTGAACGGCGAATTGTACCTGATGTTAAAATTACAAGACCAGCTTCAGAAGCTGGATCACTTAACACCGAAAACGATTTGGAATCTGTTCAAAAATATGTTTTCAAAGATGACAATTTCATCAAAACTTCTAAAATCTCCAATGTGTCTTTTGAGAAGGCACAGAATTCTAAATCTTGCCAAAGACAGTCTTCTCTGTCCTCTCAAGATAACGAATTTTCGCAAAAGTTCCATATAAGTCACACGCAGAAACAATCTCCCGCTTTCACAAATTCAGATATTTCTGAAGACAGACATTGTTTGGAAACGAATGGCAACCAGTCTGAAGGTAGTTTGAGAATATTTTCTCAAAATGTTTTGAGCATAAATCCTTCCTTGGATTACAGTTTTTCAAGTGAAACTATGATAGATCACAGCCTTATGTTCAGCAATACTGAACGAATATCGCTAACAACTAATTTTAGCGACGAGTTGTTTTTAAACGATCCAGTAGATCTTTCTGTTCATACCATTCCGGAAGAACCTGAGGAAGACATTGAAGATATCACTGAAGAACCTAGTTTCAGCAATCAGCAGCGTCCTACATCAGAATCTTCAATGTCTAAATATGGCAACCCGTCTTCAGTGGCGAAATATATAGGACAAGATTCTGTCTATAACAACAATTCTGTGGAACAGAAACTTACAAGAAGGCAAAATGCAGTTAATTTTTCATTCGATGGGTTAGACCAAGAAGGTAATAATAAACCTTCAAACTCTTTAGCAGTCAAAAACTTTTATTCTACCCTTGATGAAATGACTTTAAATGCTTTTGAATCAGGAGATGGTATCAACTTCCTTAAGATGGGCTCCATAAGTAGCTGCTTCTCAGATGATTCTAATTCGAGAAGAAATAGCTGGAACTGGGAATCTGACGGAGATAACGATGAAGACTCAGATTCCAGCTAAAACGCAATGAATGAACAAGGATATGGAAAATTTGTGTCTGCTATATTCGTTGTTGAAGGTAGAATTAAACCCTAAAGCCCAAAGAGAAATGGAATAGGAAGCGCACAATGAAATGCTGTTGTCAAAAGTAAATGATGAGTAAATCCAGAATGCACACAAGGGAAAGTTACATGAAGCCTCAGATAGGAAGAGGAACACTTGTTTTTGCCGTTGTGATATAACTGATGTCTAACGTCGACATTTTAATTACAGTAATCTTAAAATAAAGTAAAAAGTACAAATACTATTATTGTGCATTTTTAGTTTTATTTCATTCTGTCATAATGCGTTAATGCTGTAATCTTAAAAGGTTTAACTAAACTTTCTCGTGAGAAACATCAAAACTAAAACGAGGATGAAAACGACAAATATTTCAATTCATAGCATGAAGTCGTGAAGTTTTGTTATTATGAATCTTGAAAAATCTACCCCACGCTTTCGAAATACTAGCTGGATATGCTGATTCTTACACCACTTGGGCACATGGATGGAATTATTTTAATTCTTTGCATCGGAATCCAGAATATTAATTTGTAGTTTATTCTAACTGTGCTATGAATAGTAATTTTAAGTATTTAAATCATTTTAAAAACTCTTTTGATTTTAAAGCTGACTCATGACTGTTTTATGTACAAGCACATTTAAAACATAAATTAAGAGCTATTAACTTGAGAATTTTTCTTTTCAATTTCATGCTCCACATTTGCACTTTGTCACAGGTCTATACGTTTATTTTTTAAATATCCATATTTTATTTTAAATGAAGATTTTTATATAGCTACTACCAAAATTTCTATAATTATAGCTGTTGGTTATGCATATTATAAATCATTCCTACAAATAATTTTGCATCTTTATTTTTAACACTTTGGTGCATCTCATCAAAAATTCATGAAGTTATATGACACACAATTTGCGGAGAGTTCCAAAAGTCCTGTCAATTAGAAGCGAAATAATGCAGAAGTAAGTGTTAGATTTTCAGAAAAAAAAAGTTTATTATTTATTTCTGAAATTTTCAAAAGTTATTAGCGAATTTACTAGCAGCTTTTTTTACAAACTGCAGCAAAATACTACATATATGAAGAAGGAAGTGCTAAAAGATTTGAAACGCCCTACGTACTTTGCATGTTAGGATAAGAATGCAGAATATTAAGATCATTCATAATTTGATTACCATAAGATAATAACCATAAGATTTCAAATCTAACCTTTATGTTGAATATAAGCTCGTAGATTTCTCACATTTAATATAAAGTGTAATATAAACTTTTGATTTAAAAATACAGATTTTAACTTTTATTCCTACTTGTTAAAAAATCAATAAGTTCAATTACTAATTTTTTGCACTAAGAATGATTTCTTTGTTCGGGAATACATTTATATGCAAATAGCTATTTTTCAAATTTGAAAATTAATCCCAAAAAAAAAAAAAAAAAAAAAAACATTGACCGAAGAGCATCTACAATTCGTGATGAAGATAATTTCTAGCAATTTCTTTTCAAGCTGACAAACTTCATCAAAATCGAAACGCCATCATGTGTCAAGCTGCAGTAATAAATAAAAGAAGTTTATAATTATTTACAAACATATGTATTTTTATATTACATCGAAGAAAAATTTAATAAATAAGAGAAAGAGACTATGTTGTTATTATTTATTCTCAAGTTTTGTTCTACCTGTTAAACTTTCTCTCAAATGTTAAGAAAATTTTCAGAATTTAAATTAAACACGTTATTTAATGATTAATTAAACATATTAGAATTATTTTTAATAAATGGCAGTCTAAAAATTTTATATATAGCTGGGAATGCATTTGAATTACAAAGTGTAGCCAACAAAAATGTCTTTCTGTACCAAACTTGAGATTTCAGATAGAAAATAACTATAAATTTGAACTTTTTCTTTTGCAATATATTTACTATTGCTTATGCATGTTTTGAAAAATACTTCTTAAGTAAAATTTAAAATTTATTTAAAATAATTTTTTATTTTGTCAATAATAATTTTTAAAATTTTGTTAAAAACATTCTGGCCCGTCAGATTTTTTTTCAGATCTTGTATGTTCCCCGCGGTCAATTTGAATTTAAGATTACAGCATTAAGATTTTGACAACATAAAACAAAAGAAAAGTTAATATTTATATGTTGTTGTATATGATGCTGATTTTATATTTACAGCATCATTTTTTATTCCTTCTAATTCCACAAATCTTAAAAAAGATTCAATATTCGAAAACTTGAACCTTCGCGCATTTTTCACTTTTCGTATTTTTGTAATCTAAATTTTAAAATTCGTTAAGTAATTTAACTACGTAAAAATTTTAGACCGATTAGTTTTATTGATGTCTAATATAAACATTCATCAGACAGAATGCGACTGTAGGAATTTCAGGAAACATCCGAATCGCTGGATATGTCTTAGTAGTGGTTCTGAGTGTTATACTTTTTTTCCCAGGAGAGAACTGAGTCTTCCACTTTTAGTGTTCATCTGTGTTGATTCTTGATATATATATCTCTTCTCTAAACTTACCTTGATTAAAAACATTCTTGAAAAATGTAAAAATTTAAATCGTTACCCCCCCCTAAAAAAAGATAAAAAAAGTATTAAACTATACAGGAATATTAAAAAAATTGTATACTTATATATGTTTCCCATCAAATGCCTGTGAATTGTAAAGTAAGCTATGAAAAGTTAATTACAGTATAAATCTTAGTAAACGTAGGAAATTATTGGACGGTTTCCATCGCATCTGACTTCTAGCTAGAAGGGAGAAAACCAAGGTAAAAGTTTTAATAAAAGTGTTTACTAACAAATCACTCTGGCAGTTTCACAAAAAGAAAAAAACTCCGCTAACGTGCGGGGTAGAAATAATAGCTTTCAACGCAGCCAGTTGCAGGGTATTACTATTATTTTTCACTTATTTTATGTTCTTCGTTTCCGTTTCCCTACCAGAAAGGGAATGAAGTAGAAAGAGAGAATATTTAAAGAAAGGTTTCGAGAGTTTAATTAAGAATGTGTTTTGCCTCTTGAAACCATGTTACTAGGTTCCTGCTAGCTCAGATAAGATTTGTTTTAATCTTCAGCCCTTCATTATAGTAATTGAATATCTACACTGGTAAGGTTTATGAACCAAATTCGCGTTAAATGCATTTGTGTAGCCTTCGCTACTAGCTTTCTTTAATTTAAATTTTACATTTCACTGTTAAACAACAATCAAAGTTACCTCACCAGAAGTGGGTGGCTGAGTTGTAAGCACGATACGTGCATTTATGTTCAAGTACTTACTTAATGAAAAGGTTTGTTTTAAAACCTTCTTAGGACTCTATCGTTAACTTTTAGACTTAGCGATAATTCGATGTCAGTCTAACTAGTGTCTGATTCCAGTTTATGATATTTAAGAAAAATCAAATGTTATACAGTTTAAGTTGAATGTAGTATACAACAGGGGTATCAAACTGCATGCGTTGTTAAATAATAAAAAACTTCACGCATTATTAAAAATAAAAAAGTTATTGTTAGATTGTGCATGCAAAATGCATAATTTAATAATAATTTTTTTATTTTTTTAAACAGAATTAGTTTTTGTGACTAAATTTCAAATTTTAATGAATAAATATACATAAACCGTAATAATAATAATAATGCAAAGGAAAAAATTCCAATTCAGTTTCTGTTTGAACTCTAAAGGTTAGTACCTGCAGAAACGTTTGTTAATTACGCTTTGTATTTGAAAAGTACTGACAGCTGAATATTAAACTTCCTGACTGACATTTATTTCAAATAATTCTAATATGTTGAATTAACTAATAAATAACTTATTAAACTAAAATCAAGCAAATTACGAGACCTTTCTAAGTGCAACAAAGGCTGAGAATAAATAACGACAAACTAATTTTAGTCCGAAGATTCAATTTGCCCAGAAGGGCTAATTATTTCGTTCTGGCATTTTTCGTTGGTTCACTGTAACCGGCGTTTACCTTTTCAAATTGTTGCCACCAAATATTAAAACCCTGCATTACATTTAAATAGTCATTCTTAATAAATTGCAAAATCTTCATTCTTAATAAATTAAAGAATGAAGATTTTGCATGACTGTATGTATGTTTCTCGCACTGTGAAAAAACAACAGTACCTAGAGACATCAAATTTTGAATATCGTAGTCCTCCACACGAATATGGGCATATGGAAGACCTAATTTGAAATTTGGAATTTGTTTTATTATTTGTTTCATATTTTAAAACTTGAAAAAATTTTTTATTAAAAAACTAGCGACTTCAAAGCGAGAAATGGCAGCACTGTACGGGGGAAAAAAATAAAAACATTTTTATCGGCAGCGCGAGAGACTATGTGTCTGAAATTCTAAAGATATGTTCTTTTTAAATTATTTTATGATACTGCTGTTGAATTGAGTTGTATGGTTAAAGTGTGAAGAACATGATATTTAATAAATAAAGGTAACACACAAAACGTTAAAAAAGACCCCTTTGGGCTTAATATAAAATCTGAGAGCTTTCAGATTTTTTTCCCTTCATTTATTAAAGTTTCTTCAACGTATACAGAAAAAGTACTTATTAGTAAGTAGTTACATATTTCTTTATTTCTTACAACTACTTTCAGTTACAACACCTGGCTTTCTTTAAAAACTGTTCACATCTGAATGTAGTCCCAAACACAGCGATTATCGTTAGAGCAAAAATTCGTAACTGAAGGTTCGTAATAAACGTACGAATAAAAGTCAATCAGATGTGTATCTTCAAATTTTAAATAAAATTTTTATCACAAGCCTATTTAAGTGTAAGCCCTATTTGTAGATTTTCTGGAACGTTACTCACTTTCAATTTCAATGGTAATGAAAATAATCTGAAATTAGACTCCAAGTCATTAATATACTAAACTTTTTCTTCAAACTACTGTCATTATATTTTAATTAATTTATGGGAAACACATTTTCAAGTCATGTGAAGTTGCACTGGGATCTGCATAAGACCCTCGGGCCGCCAGTTTAAGGTCGCCAGGATAGATTATTCGTAAACCTAGCCTAAACTTTGACTCTCGTTGACTGCTCTCAAGGAATTAGACAAGCAAAACATTTCTGCAAGCTACAGGTAAATGCAGTAGCAAAAATTGAAAGGAATATTACCGTGCTTCGTACCAGGGTCACCATAAATTTCCCGCATATAAACCAACCAAAAAATGCATAAATCTCAAAAGTAATTTTGCTAAAACCCCCAAGCTCCTAAAAGTATTAAACTACCAGTGCAAGCTCGGCCATTGCTGCTTAATGAAGCACTTCTTTAACTTACACGAGAAAAATAGTAAAAAGTAAAACCAATAACATTTTACAAGCAGCTAGTGCTAAAAGTAATACAGGTATTTCCGAATAAGCGAATAAGGTGTTTAAACTTACGAACATCATTCACTCAGCAATTAGTGAAGATGAATTTGATGTTATAACTGCCATTCTTAACAAATATATACCATCACTTAAAACTTGTAACAGTATAATATAGATAAGTTCCATATTTTCTTGCAAATGCTTAAGGAAATTAATGATAATGCTAATAATGAGTAACGTCTGGAGACGTTCCGGCGCCATCCATATAGTTCTACATTAGTTTTCACAATTATTAACTCCTTTAGTAGTAAGTTATTCTACAAAATTTCTTCCTAACATTTCCCCGTTTTCGGCTACTCCTTACATACTGTATGGTTTCGAGAATGTCTTCTCCTACCCGCCTTGAAAGCCTACTAACTCTGATAGTATTTTCTTCTATTAATAGCTAAAATCCAAGTTCTTTCATACTCTCCTGCTTCTCTTCATTATGTGACTTTCTTGACCTACGATAAAAACTGGCGGAATGAGTTATTATCGAAAACATACGATATGTTTTCATCTAATACGAAATTTATTTATAATGTTACAGAGGCTATACTGAGGTATCCTCTTTCCATGGACAGGCCTTGTGCTGCGACCTGACAAAAAGACAGATATCTAAACAACCACAAAAAGAGATCTAAAATAGAGAAACGAATAGCTTATACTGCCGGTTGCTCTTTGATAAACTTTGAACCTAAAAGTATATTTATATTTTAAATTAATTTAAATTCTTTTAGAAGATGACGAAAGCAGAAATACAGAAAAGCTAAAAATAATAACATAACTGATTATTTAAAATAAAATTTTATGAAATTAATTCAAAATGCTCGCTCATTTGTTCTTATGGCTGGAAATGCCCCACGAAAATAGTCAAAATTCTTGTTTCAGATACAAAAATCTGTTTTTTTTTTCTTAAATAGTTTTTTTAGTTATGTTTCTTAATTTGTGAAATAAACGTTAAATTGATGCGAAATTACGGCGTTTCGATGGTCGTCACAAGGTACGTTAAATGTTTTCGGTCGCGTTACGGAATGATCTTT